CCCTTACTGGAATACTACTAATCATTTGTAAAGGCCATGAAATGTCTAGATTAGGAAATACGTCGCCTACAAAAAAGTTTTTACTCCCCCTGGAAGTTTTCTCGTTACTGCTTTTCAGTATTGAATCACGGTCAGTTTAAAAAAAAAAAACAAATTAAAAATTAAAAATCCCCCCAAAAAAGACCCTTTTATGTTACTCAGTGAAAAGTATGGAGTAGTGAGAGTGCCAAATGACAAAAATAAATTAGTAAACAAATAGTAAAATAGAAGTGGAAATAAAAAGAAGAATAAATAAAATGAAAGATAAATAATGTGGCACTATAAAGCAATATTAATCAAAAATGAATCCATAAAAGAAAAGGCTAATAAAAGTAGAAATATAAAGAAAATAAAACACATAATGTGTTTTTATTAGTTTTTACAATTATTTTTATTTATTGTTATTATTTTATTTTTCATTTAATGAATATAAACATCAAATCTGTGGTCAACTGATCAAGATAAAGTCTGCTTAAAATTTAGCTCCAACAGTTTCGGAGATGTGACCGTCCCGGTTTGACAACTATGACAGCGTTCACAGTCGCCGAGAGCAGCCTGATGTCGGCAACACTTTCTGAAATCTACTGCTGGCTCTGCGGGTTCACAGAATGCAAAAAAAAAAAAAAAAAAAGTTAAATAAAAATTTTAAAATAATAAATAAAAAAATTCATTAAAATAAATTACAAAATAAATTATTGCTATTTTTATTATTTTATATATTTGTCTTGCCGCAGATGCTGCCCAGAGCTAGCTGTCTTCTGTCTGCCTGCAATAATGTCGCAAGGTTTGCAGAATGAACGTCTGGGATAGACAAGACACTCAAAACGTTCGCTTTCGTTGTCTCCTAAAGGGGCTGCTGCATCTATGCGTACTGCCAACGTAACGTCTACATCTAAATCCATCATTGAAAACAGGATGAAATAAGTCACGTGCAAACTTGCTTAAAGCAAACCATCCTCAACAAACAACACAAAAAGAGAGAGACTATTGAGGGGGGCCCCAGGACACCTATGACTCCTCTGGAGGAGTTACAAGCTTCAGTAAACATGCAGACAACAACTGGGTCCTTCACTGGTCAAAGCTTTATGGTAAAGTGGTAAATAGAATGGTACTGTTGAAAAATTCTCATATTAATCTTGAATAGAGTTTGAAAAAGGGCATGTATGAGACAACAAAGTCAACTGGAAGAAGATCCTGTCTGATTAGACCAACATTGAGCTTTTTTAGCCATCAGGCGGGACACTATGTTTACTGAACACATTATTCCTTACCATGATGCATGGTGGTGGCATCGTCATGATGTATGGATGCTTCTCGGCAGCGGGCCCTGGAAGGCTTGTAAAGATAGAGCGTAAAATGAATGCAGCGACGTATAGGGAAATCCTAGAGGAAAACCTTGACGCAGTCTGCAAGACAACTGTGAGTTAGGGATAAGATTTGTCTTCCAGAAAACATACAGGCAAAACTTCACAGAAATGGTTTAAAGGGCAGGTTTAGGAACTGTACATCAAAATGAAAGCAGGGAGACATAATACTCCCATGTAAATAGATAGTCGATCAAAATAGGAGGCTAGATGTGAGCAAACACTGAATGCTGATAACATATTTGGCAACAATAGCAATCATATCACACAGTCCTACAAAAGTAAACATAGCACGAATGGTAAAGAACAAAGCAACAAAGCTGAAAAATGTGCAAACGATTACTGCAGCCGCAGAACAGAAATAAGATTTTTAAAAACCTTGAGGTATTCCCCTTTGCACACAAGACAGTGCAGATTTTTTTCCCTTTTTTTTTTTTGGTAGATGGGTGGAGTGAGGCTGGAATCAACAATGAGAGGGCTACACTAGGAATGCAAAAGTTTCATTTTCCCCAACACAAAGCCACAGAGATGACACACCCAAATAGTGAAAAACTATCAGACCGTTTAGGTGCTGAAAACATTTGATCGACAGAACAAGTCGATGCATTGAAAGTTCATTCGTTACCAATGTCTCTGCAGATCTCAGGAGGTAAAAGTGAAAAACCATCAAAACTCGCTCCTGCAGAAAGTTTCCCGAGCGCATGTGCTGTGACTTGTTCATGTGGGTTCATCTGCTGATGTCCCAGGATGTGCATGCAAACAGACAGACTCCAACAAAACTACTATTGTACTGCAAAGGGCTCTTGCACAACTGGAAACAATAAAAATAGACTTTTTTTCCTATGCTGCATTTTTCATTCATCTGTTATGTGTCACTGAAGCCTGCTCTACACTGCAAGTTCTGCAAAAGTAAAGACAAAAACAACCTGCTTTAACTATTGGATTTGCATCCAACAAAACTTTAAGGAAACAAAACTGATCCCAGAATTTACTAGCAACTTGTGGTAACTTGTGCAATGAAAATCTCTTCTGTCTGCATTCGTACATGCAAAGAGATTCTCAACAGCCTGCAAGGATTTTCAATTGGACACAACACGCACTTTGTTAAGCCGGCTCAGTCTCTTGCTTCTCTCCCTGTTTCACAGAAATGAAACTCATGGAACATGCACACACACATACAAACAAAAACATTACGTGCAAATTAGGCTACACGCAAGTCACATGTTTGCATGTGTGCACTGTTTCAAAACAGTATTACAAAAGAAAGAGAAGTTAAGGATTTAGAATACAGCTGCAATGCATGCAGGAAATCCAGAACAGACATGCACAACAAGCAGAACCAGCAGTGGCAAACAGCCGGTCTTACAATGAGGATCTGTTACTCATTAAACTGATTCTTTAACCACCAACTTAACAACATGGAGCAGAGCTGAGGGACCAGTGAAGCGGCTCTCCTTCACTCCCTGCATTTATCTTTCTGTTTCCTTATTTGGAACAAGCTGCACTCATCCAACTGTATGCTCTATTTTTGCGCCGTGGTTATTATACCCATGAACCCAGTGACAATAAAAATAGATTTCTCATACTTTTGGTTTCATCGGTTATCATCTTTTACTACCACAAAACATAAAAGTTAAAAGAGTTAGAAATACTTGACAATGACATTGTTTCACACCAACTGACAACTAGATATTAAAGCAGATGCTGTTTTGAGATTTTAAAATATCAATTCGATGATGGCTTGAATCATGTAAATGCATGTGTTGTGACCTAACTCATGCATTTTGCTGGATTCTGCAGAGTCTTCCATGTGGAACAAATACATGATGCAGCCAAAGCCCAAGAGCTTTATTGTAAGTCGACAAGTAATTAGAACCATTCGATATGCATAATGTAACCACCAGTCTAATCCGGTACTAGCACAAGTTGACTCAGACTACTCCTAGTAAACTGAAAGTTACCAAGCCACGAAGGCACCATGACCTCACACAGCTGGTGTTATCTTGCATATGAGTGCCTGTTGCCTGTCTGTCCTTATAAACAATTCCAGCTGACCTCCAGTCTTTCCTTAACTTTCACGTCGTGTTTCAGCCTGACAAACATGACCGTTCAGGGCTTGAAATCTGAGAGCCAGCAGCAGTCTTTCATTCTTTGTCTTGGAAAACTGGGACTGCGGTAGAAAGAAAAAAACAACACACTGCTCCAATTGTGAAGCTAGAATAACGCCACAAGTAGGATTTTGTTTTAGGGAGAAGTCTTCATTGTGTGGAGGCAAAAAGCAGAGTGAAAAACTGCACAAGGTGAGCTTTTATGCAGAACTTTGTGCTTCTTTGCGCTGCCTTGTCGTAACATAAAGTTTAGATATACAAATATTTACCATACAGATGAGCTCACTCTACACTGTGCTATGTCATTTTGCAGTTTGCTGTACAGCTGCTCAGCGTATCAGTGAATCACTCAGCTCGAATCACCGATGAAGTCATAATACAAACATCTGCCAAAAAGTCTGCATGCACACCGTCGACATCCAAATCCTTGCAGCAAGAAGAAATCTGGAAAGGTTCCTGCTCGGCCTTTGATTCGATTAAATTCAGTCAGATTCCTTGGAAAGATTTTTCTTTCCAACAAGCAAACTCAGTTTCACATCACGTGGAATTTGATTTAAAAAAACCAACAAAGTCAAACAGGTTTGAAGTATCAGTTGTCTACATTCAAATTGTTCAGATGATATCATTAGAAATCATGAAAATAGCTCAGACTTTAGGACTGCAGACTGTTGCGCAACAGTTGGCAGTTGGTGAAAACTAACTCAGGCTCGCTGGATAATCAGAAAGTGATATGACGTGTTATCTGAATGCCATTAACTCTGCATACTGCCATTTAAAAAAAAAGGGATGCACAATTTTAAAATAAGGCTCAACGTGGCTTCAAAGAAACAGAGTTCTGAAAGCTCCAAGTTCCAAAATAGTGAAATGACTGTTGGATGTCACAATATGAGTATTTCTGAAGCAATGAATCACCCTTGAATGTGAAAGCCCAAGTCATGCATTTTCTGCAGAAGAACCTGGGGAGAAGTGCAGCAGGAGAACTGGTTGGATTCTTTTTTTCACTACTGCTTTTTAAAAAGAACAAAAAAAAAAAGCAGGACTTGAGCTGATGTAATTGTTTTTACATGTGTTGGAACAGGAGATCATTATCCTGGAAAAAATGCAGAGTCTGAATTGAATCAGGAACTTTATCTTTAGGATATGCAAAAACCCAAGAACAGATTAAATAAATGTGCTTTCATATTTGATGTAAACTGCTTCGTGCAGGGTCACATCAGGTAATAAACTTTTTTTTTTTTTTGCATGCATGTGTTGTATTAACATTTGAAACCACAAGTGTGTTCACCTAAATAAAACTACCGAAGACAAGCTCGGGAAGTAACGCCAGAAACGAGCTTCAACAAACGCTCCTATTACTGTCTGTCACCTGGATTTCTGTAAACGCCCCGCTCTGATGTGGTTTTTCTTTTTTTTTCTAACTCGCTGAAAAGAACTGAGGGCTCTCGCGCTAGGTTTCGGTTTCGTTCTTCCCGGAACGCCTTATAGCTTAAAGCAGCACAGCGTCAGTCGCGCTGCTCACACACACGATCTGACGGCTGGGGAGACACAGCCAGCAGTCTGAACCGCCAGGTGACCTCCGATGCTCCTCTCCCCCGCCGCCCTGCGCTGCTTCGCGGATTAGCTGCTCCAGGAGAGTCGCTGTGCGGCTTCGCAGCGTTTCGCCACTTTTGGGATTACAGACAAACGGATCGTTAAACCGCCGCCGTCGTTAGAACACAACGGTGAGAATCCTGATTTCTGCTTTACTGCTGGACTGTTCTTCAATCGCTATTCTAATAATAATAATAATTTGTAAGTGCTTTAAGCTGTCAGTGTCCCTGAGTGCATTCAGGGATGCAGCACACTGTAAAAACTGAACATAAGGTTCAGTTTTTAACTCATTTCTTGGACAAATTTCGCCTGTTTTGTTAAATTATCGACAATTACTAGTGAAAATACACAAAAAACCACTTATTAAACATTAAAAAACAAAACAAAACAGTAATGTCCAGATTAAAACACAGTATTTGTACAAATGGTAATTAGTTCTTTTACAGTGCTCGACTATAAAATTACATTATTTCACAGATATTTGCCAATATTTAAAGAAATGAAATAAAATTGTATATATATATTGAGGGTTGAACACAGCCCATTTAATTGTTGTTTTACAGATTTTTCTCATAATAATTATGTTTAATAAGCAACTGTATATATTTTTTCTAATTTATATTTTTTTACAATATGTTTTATAAATACTTATTTGTTCTTTTACTGTGTGTAAACATATTACAAAATTAATTTATTAGCTAAAAATATTTATATTTTATAGATTATGTCAATATATATATATATATATATATATATTTTACAGTTTTTAAACATTATTGTTTTTTTTGGCATCTTTACTACCACATATTTCCTATTTTTTTATTTTTTTATTTTTTTTTAAATTTATTTACAGTTTTTAGTTTTACAGTGTAGCTGGTTGAAATTGAGAATGCATTTTCACTCTGACACTGTTTGGCTGCTGTCCAGGTGTGAAACAGTTCACCTTTTTCAGACTGTGCGCTCTTAACAGTCTTGTAATGCTAAAGAAATTTTAAAGTGGGAACTACAATCTGAATTTTATCCATCTAAATGGCTTAAACATGTGATTAGAATTGTCTGATGTTTATGATAATAACACCATAAAAATACAAACAAGAATCCCAGTTGCACCAGAGTCATAACTTGTTAATCATTAACCTTTCCTGGAATTCGGTGTGATTTACTTGTCACTTCCAATAAACCAGAAAGCAAAAAAAGATGACTCGCACACAGGTTAGGCCTGTTGCTTGGTGTAAGTTAATATTGTTTAATGTATTAATTCTTTATTTAATCCAAATAAACAGTTTCAGTTCGGCCTCTCAGGGGTCAAAGTCTCGTATTTCCAAGTGCTTTCAATTTGCAATGCACCAGTATCCTGTTTTTGGTTTTTGCTTTAAATGTTCAACCTGATATTTAAGTCCTTGAGGAGAAGCAGATGAAAGGAAAATGCCGCCATAACCACTTTAAACTTTTGTATGAGTGTGTGCGGCTAGACAGCGTACAGTAATCTGGCTGTGGCTGACATCACCCAAACCGCAGATTCCAGTCATATCAAACAGAGCACAACTTAGTGGAAAGTGTAATACATTTCTAAACTATACCCAGAATGCACAGAGTCAGTGAAGTTTCTTTTGGAGCAACAGGCCTTACATGGTCTGGAGACTTCTGAGGCTGTAAATAGTTACGCTTGCTGCCACAGTTTGTAATTTTTCAGGAAAATGTTGAAGTGTTTGCAAAAGTGGTGCTGGTTTTCAATGTAATAACCCGTTCTTCTTCTTCTTTGTCTCTCAGGATGTCAGTGTGGTGGGTAGAGATGGGAGAGGGTTTGGGGCCACTCTCCCCTGTAGGATGGTAGCCGACAGCACAGTAGAAGGCCATGACAAGACCCACTTGTCAAGCTCATTGTCGTCTTCCTCATCCTCATCATCGTCCTCATCGTCCTTCTCCTCATCCTCATCCTTGTCTTCATCATCTTCTCTGTCCTCCGCCTCCTCCTCCTCCTCCTCCTCGTCATCATCACTTCGTCCGGAGTTGGAGCAGCTTCAGGGTCAGGCCAGTCCGAGCCCCAACCCGAGAACCGTCCCCTCCGTGTATCTGACTCACTTCCGGACTTTCTCCAGCAAGGAGGACTGCAAGATCATCACCGACACAGCGGCCAAGCTCGAGCGCTGCGGCTTCTACTGGGGCCCTCTTGGGGTGGAGGACGCCCACCGCATGCTGAGGGACGCACCCCTGGGCAGCTTCCTCATCCGAGACAGCCGCCAGAAGGACGTCTTCTTCACGCTGTCCTACCACGCCAAGAGCGGGCCGGTCAGCGTGCGCATCGACTACAAGCGGCAGAAGTTCTCACTGGCGGGCAACGAGCGCTCCTTCCCGACGCTCTTTGCCCTCTTGGAGCATTACAGCAACTCTCCCAAGAAGAGCCTGAGCGTCCCGTACAGGAAATGGGAGCCGACGCTGCAGGAGATATGCAGGAAGCGCATCATGCAGGTGTGCGGAGGAGCGAGCCGGGTTTCAGAGCTGCCAGTCACGCACGTGGTCCAAGGCTTTCTGATGGAATTCCCCTACAAACTGTGACCAGCTTGCCTTATAAAGTCCTGACGGTGTTACTTTTAATCACAAGAAGGCAGCTTTTACCAAGTAACTGTGAACTGGAGGGGTTGGTGATGCCTGTCCATCATGTATTGGAATCTGCGTCGCCACGGTTACACATGAAATTCACTTTTGCGCTGAAGCAGTTTCTGAAGAGACCTTACCACCACGGTCATGTACCAGCAGCCTCCAGATGGACGGTGTTCCTGCATGACATTTCAACGCACGTTACCTCTAGAGACTCATCCCCCACTTGCACATGGACAGAACGCCGTTTGGGCTTGAGGAAGTACAAAAAGTGTGCTGCATTAAGAGTAAACTACAGACACAACAGAGCTTTTACAGAGATAAAAAAACTTGCAGGGGAGACGGTTCCTCTGGAAACTGAAGGGTTCGCTGTTGCCCAGAAATGTTGTCGAAGGACATTAGAAGGATGGACTTTTAAATATCTTGAGTCGTGGTGGAGGGTACGACTGAAACCACCGCTGACGGCGGCCGGCACCGGGGAGATTTATTTTTGTAGCAAATTTAAATACTCTAATATTGCGGAATGTTTACATCACACATGAATGTCTGTCAGCACTGAAAGCTCGAATATGTCCTGAGCTGTTAAGTCTGATACTTACCTGTACTGTATTTGGAGGCACGACACCTCTTACATGTGACATCATTTTTAGAAAAAAGTTCCTATTATATTTTAAATAAAAATGTATTTAAACTTACTTTCTTGCTGCTTGCTTTTTATTTGCTTAAGTGTGGTACTTCTGCGTTGTGTGAGTGGTAGGAGTGGTTTTTTAAGTGCAGAGGGTGGAGCCAGAGGGCGGTGACAAACACACTCCCTCGTAGTCACATACCTTGTCCTCTCTCTGTCACAGACAATGGGACAGACAGACTGACAGGAAGCGTGGAAGGTAGTGTACAGTATCATCACCACAGTGATTCATCTCTGTAGGGCAAAGTGACAAGTGGGTGAGGTTACTTTGGTAGTAAATGGACTGTTACACAGACTTACCAGAAACAGGGGCCAATGCAGATTAAAATTTCCTCAAGAGGAAGTGGGAAATTTTTTGGGTTAGTGGTTAGACATGCTAGATCAAGGTCAGAGTTAGAGTTCTAGTTCACAAGTTGTTACTGCTAAACTAGCCTTATGTAGCGCATAGACAAAATGTGTGTAAATAAGCAGAATGGATTGAAAGATTTGATATCTGTTACAGAGAATATTCAATGAATTCCTTTTACTTTGATTTGGCCCAAAACGTCAGTGATCTCCAGCTGTCCTTCACATGTCAGAGCTAACATCTCTAATGTGCAGCTGCCATGATCATCATGAGCAGTAAACTGAGTGGTGAAATACATATATTAACTCAGAAGAATGATTGTTTTCTACCAGCAATCCTCTCTCGCGTCACTTGCAGTAGCTCATACAGCCGTCCTCACATGTATTCATACTCTTCCATTAAAGAAAAGGCAAAATTCCCAATAGTCACTCAAATAACTAGAAACTGAAAAAAGTAATAATAAATAAAAATTTGTTAAATTATAATTTAGTGAAATAAGACATTGCTTTTGAATTGTTGTTAAAAAAAAATAATTTAAATAAATAAATAAACTGTCTTGGACAAATTAGAGCACTTTGTTGATGAGCAGTGGGCCAAAATCAAAATAGCTGTCAACAGGTGCAGAAGTCTGACTGAGAGTTACAGAAAACACTTGATTGCAGTGATTGGCTCAAAGGGTTGCTCAACAAAATATTCGTTTAAGGGTCTCATCATGCTGTTTTTTATTTATTTATTTTATTTCTGTTGAACCACAATTCAAAAGCAATGTCATGATTTTCATTAAATTTTTATTTATCATTTCTTTTTGTCAATTTCAACTTATTTCAGTGGCAGCTGTTTTTTCATTCTTTAATGGGAGGGTATGAATACATTTGGGGACGACTGTAGCTCTCAGTTATACCAACCTGTTCCTCTTGACTGAAGTAGGCGCCACACTATTGGACCATGCTGTGTGGAAGAAGAGTCACATGATGCATTAAATAACTCTGGTTATCAGTAAAAGTTTGTACCCACTGTTGGGATAACTATTATCTCTGAGTGGGATTGTAGGTTTAATTGAGCCAGCTAACACAAAGAAAGCCTGGCTTTGTCAAACTTGCTTCTAACACAGAGCTCAGGAGAGCATAACTAATCTGAATGATTTATTGTTCTCAGTTATTACCTTATTTTTTCATATTGGACCAGAGCCCAGCAGAAAACTCCTCTGAAGCGCAGTCGGGTCTTTATCAGAGACAAAGGAGTGTAACTGATGTGAAGATAGAAGGTTCTTAAGTATCTAACCTCTAACCTTTCATACCAGACTGATGGACGAATCTGTGAAAACATGTGTAAGCTTTTGACTTTAGCTTGTTTAAAGTGGAGTATCCGGCATGCATTCTCAAAGTGCCAAACAACAATGACAAGGTTTCCCAGCATCTTTACAAGAATAACACCAGTGTTTCTGTTGTTTTTGCTGTCACTGTTGTTAGTCCAGTCATTCGGCCTTGTGCCAGGTTGACCTCCACTCTCTGCTTTTTACTCCACACAGTGTACTGTGCATACGTAGCTGCTGAACACTCTTTGTTAATACAGTATTTTACACACAGGGAGAAAATGAAACTCTTGTAATAATGCCACCAAATGCAGTTCACTTTTGGCAGTTGTGGTGTTAAAGATCCCCTCTGATAAAAACTAGTCTAGTTGCTAACTTTGCTAACAAGTTGTGTTTTGTTCCTTATAGGTGACATGCCATGAACAAAGAGATCAGTCAGTGACACAGATGAGAATTTCCTCATTGAAACTCTCTGAAGAAAACATGGATTCGCAATGGAGGTTAAGACAACAATCTGCACGATCCCACACTCCCTCCAGCCGTCCTCAAACAGACCTGCGTTATGAAGCAAGTTCAACATACCCAGGATATCTTTTCATTATTTGTCCTCATTAAACCGGAACAACTGCAGTCCGGCAAAGCTGGTCTTCAGTCAGTGAACTCAAGGGCCGTAGTTGGGATCAGACGATCTACTGCAAACACAAACAGCTTAAGATTGGCATTTTTCTCACAAAAAAAACTAAACTAAACTAAAAGTCTAAAGCAATACGAGAAGTTTAAAATATAATACAGGCTAGAAGCAACACAACTGCTGCAGCCAGAGTCAGGACGATGCAGGTTTGTTATTCAAGATTCGAGATCCAATTGAATCTCAAGATTGTACAATAAAACGACAGATGGAGTTACTTTGTGCTATTCAAAATGAAAAGACGAATCATACAAATAAAAAAAATTATAAAAAATAAATCAAACTTTTTGGTGAAGCGTGGAAGACATTCTGTGAATATTTCTTCATGCAACCTTGGCAGTTTTGGGAGCAATCAAAGAGCAATTATAAAAGTAAACCAACAAGTAGATCAACTTATCTTCTGTTTCTCTTTCAGTGGGCAGTAAGTAGGAAATAAAGCTTTTGTGTCTCAGTCAGATCTTGATCTTTCAGGAATGTTGGAGTCATTTTTCACGAGAACTGATGTGGTCGATCTGTTGTCTGGAGCTTAATCTATTCTAGGGTAGGTTAGCCGTTTGGCACAAGTTACCGTCCTGGTAAGAAGAGAACCACAGTCGATTTAAACCTGAAGCTACCTCACCAACCGAAGCCTGGCAGATGTCACATCTGGTGTGATTGAAGGATACGCACTATGTTGATGTCTTGTTTGTAACTTTCTTTAGTCTCTGCTGGTTTGTATGTTAATGATGAGCTTTAAGGGTCAGACAGTCCCTTGACACGCACGTTTTTAATCGGTAAAACAAGACAGTGCGTGTTACGAAATCCGAATGTGTGGGAACTGCAGTCGAGATGGGGTCAGACAAGAAAAGCATCAGAAGTTTCTCTAATTTTGCAGTTTCATGACATTTGCGAGAGTATGTGTCAATTTCTTTTGACACAATGTAGAGTACATTTCATTTCTAATCTGACGCTGTAACCTTAAGCCGCCTCCAATTCCTTCCTCATATCTAACCAAAACCTCCAACGCTGAAACCAAACCTTACCATAAGGCTTTGTGATCTTCTGGGGATTTTTTTGAAACTCTCTTGGGTCTAGACGAATGTAGACACACACACACACACACACACACACAGACAAACAAACACACAGAAGCATGAGTCATACCGAATATAATACTGACAAGTTTGATTCAAGTAAAGCCTGACGAGTTTGAGGATATAATTATCTCAGCTTGAGGAAGAAGCTGAGCAGAGGTGGAAACATACAGCGACGCACAGTGGAACATGAGTCAGTGATATACACACTATGACTTAATTCATCTCTGGCTTATCAATTTTTTGACATTAAGAGGAGATATTCAAACACAAAGTGTGTCTATGCGGGTGTTCTTGTGGGTCTGAGGGAGGCTGATGAGTGAATCACATGTAGCAGTTTCACTCAAAGTCTCTCGGTTTTCAGGACATTCCTGAGTATTTTGAGAAGTGAAAGGTGAAGTGAGGTGTTCTGCGTCTTATCAGCTGATTTCTGTGGAATCCTCCACTTGGAGTTTTCTGTCCTTTATTGACAGACACTTCTACAGAAATAAATTAAAAACCGACACCTGACGACAAAAAAAAAAAAAAAGTTGCTCATGACGAGGCTGATGACAAAGCGAGAAACAGAAATGCTCTTTTGACATTTAATGTTTAGTCTGTTCTCAGCTTCGTGACTTTGGTTTACGTTTATTTAGAGTGTTCAGACGTTATCAGAAGTGACCAGGATGTTAGCTCAGAGCTTATCTTGGACAATAATAACAAAAGATTAAGAGTTACTTAAAGAGTTATCAATTCCCTGAATAGTCTTTCGTCATCCTTTGTTCCTTTTTAACTTCTTGTTAGTGGGACATCCCAGATTGCTCAGTATGATGACGACCAGTTTTCTGGAAACTGTGCAGTAACATGGGAGAAGAAGAATTGGTTTTGGCACTGACTTTTCCCAAAGAAGTGTCGGTGTGGATGCAGTCGTGACTAAATCACATCTCAAAGAATCCCCCAACTTCCACAGCAAGCTGTTCCGTGAAACTGAAAGATATCCACACACATTATGTCTTTTCTCAGAAGACTAGGACAGCATTTTGAGAATAACACTCAGTGTATTTGCTTCCTAAGAAGGGCCAGTTGCAGTTAAACAGTGAGTGAAATACCCGAGAAGTATCTGAGCAGAAGTTACGGTCAAACCCTCTAGAGTCTCTTAGAACCGTGGTTGTCTTTTCCTGGGCACTCGTGAATTCTACTTTACACCTTTCCTTGATGTCTTGATTTTTTCTGTTGAAGTCAAGCAAGAGTGCTGAGGAAAAGACATATGACCTGATTTGCATAAAACCTGACTTAAGCTGACTGAAGTAGCCGCAGAATGCAGAACTAGTGCATCCTTGACTGGAGAACAGTCTATATTTACAGTTTTTCTCAGTTGCTTTGTTGCATTTCTCAGATCAGAATTGAAATTCTCAAAACTACTTGTTCAGTCTTCACATCATTGTGTCACTTGTGCACATCAAAAAAGCACTTTCTTATTTCTTTGAACAAGTTCTAAATGCTTTGGTGCATCCATGCAAATGATTATGTACAATTCTCTGCTGTTTCCTACATTATCAATTGCTTATGTCATGTTGATCAAAATGTATTATAATGGGGCTCTGTTGAATAGTGACACAAACTGTAGTTTTATGATTATTTGAGGGGAAAAAGTAGTGGTATAAACACCAAATATGTGGTCATTTTATCACGATAAAGTATGTTTAAAATTGTGCTCCGACGATTTCGGAGATGTGAGTGTCCCAGTTTGACTGCTGTGTCAGCGCTCACAGTAGCCGCCGAGAGCCGCCTGATGTCAGCAAGACTTTCTGAAGTCTGCCGCTGGCTCTGACAGCTCTGTAGCGGTTAAACAGGGATATACATAGTTCAGCGGTCACACTTTGTCCTCACAGTGTCATCTGTTTATTGCTCACAATCGATTTAAAAGAAGTTAATGTTGGAACTTTATATTTTTATTTAGTGTTGTACTGATCACTGCCTCAGTACGTCTGAATTATTCTCCTGCTTTCATTACCTGTAGTACAGCCTTGTTCTATTCTTATGACTGCTACTGTGCATTAAAAATAACATTTAAGCAATGTTTTAGTGGAGGGCCAGCTGGATGAGCGTCCTCCTGAAAGATGAATTGTCTGATATGAATTGCTAAGGCCACAATTACATTTTCCTCCAACATCTGACCTGTTGATCAGACACTGCTGTCAACAAATTAACGGCTTAAATAATGATTGTATAACGACCTTAGAAACCTCAACATGTATACATGCAGAGCTGTGTTCTAGTATTTCATTTAATTTCGTTGTTTTTCACGGTAAAGATAATCAGAGTGGATGAGCCGAGGTGGTGACGTCATCGAGTACGCTGCTGTCCCAATTGCACATAAATGGCGATGCGTTCTCCCGGACTCGCTAGACCGTACTCGCTAGTCTGTACTCGCGAGTACGGACTTGCGAGAATGCAAGTATGGACTTGCGTACTTGAGTATTGAGAAGCGGCTTCAGTCTGTAGCCTACAGTGAGTGACTGTGACCATTTAAGATTCAAAAGAAAGACTTGGTTCTGTGTTGAGGTTAGGACATTGGTCTTCCAGGACCTTCAAAGCTCACTAATTAAACATTTTATATCTGGCTTTGCTAACTTATGTGGAAAAACGAAGGACAAGCTGGGAGTTATGCCAAACTTCCTGAAGTCTATGCTGGGCGACAGGTGACGACAAGACCTACACTTATGTTTATTTCTTGTGTGTTTATTGTTGTTTTTATTCATCTCTTAATATTGTTTCGGTGGGGAACAAGTACGCAAAGCATTTTGCTGCGCATTATACCGTGTATGACTGTGTTTGTGACCAATAAAGACCTTGAACCTTGAAACTTATAAGCAGGTTGTTTCCCCTCTGGTTCCAGTCCTTGTTTTAAACTAAGCCAGTTTGCTGCCAGTTAATATAAATGTTGCTACTGAGGTCTCTAAATATGTTCTAATTGTCCATCCATCCATCCATCCACCCATCCATCCATCTCTGCACATCTGGGGCTCTTCTCACAGTGGCTGCAGGCTCAGTGGGTAGCTCTAACTCTTCCCAGTCATGCTTTCCAGCTGCACCTTGTGAATCCTAAGGTGTTCCCAGCTCAGTTGGGATCTATAAACCCCCTGTTAAGGTCTAGCCAGGGGTCTCTTCCTGGTTGGGGGTAAAAACCTCCAAGAAGGCCTCCAGGAGACATCCGAATCAAATGTGTAAAGCACTTCAGCTGGATCCTTTCAACATGAAGGAGCAGTGACTCTTCTCTGGATTCTCCCCACTCCTCACTAACGCTGAACCCAGCCGCCCTCCGAGGAAACCACCATCGGCCTCTTGTATCCGCGACCTCATTCTTTCACTATTTAGAGCTCATGTCAATAGGTGAGGGTTGGAACATAGATCAACTGATAAACCGAGAGTTCAGCTCCCCTTCCTCACAATGAAGTTCAACAAGATCTGGAGACGCTTAAACTCCATCGTTCACTCCTGACGCAGAGGGAGCAATCGACTGGTATCAGGCCTCAGAGTTGAAGATGCTGACTCACATCCTGGCCAGTTCACACTCGCAACACACCCCAAGTATGAATGGAAGGTCAGGGCATGATGAAACCACCAGAAACACATCAGCCGCAAAAAGCAAAGACTAAAGCTCGTAGACCGGACATCCTTCTTGACCCTGGCTGTCTTTTGATACAGGAAATAGGGATGTTAGAATTGTGATTCATATTAAACAGATTTCCAATAAAACTGGAAAGCCCCAGACCTTTGTACATTGACCTCACAATGTGCCATCTATTATGTTCTTAAAAGTATTTTTTTAAGCATTGCTGAGAAAACCCTGTTTAGTTTTTAAAAACAACTTGACACTCAGCGGCATGGTGGCAAACGCATCTGCAAGAGCAAATCTTCAAATCTGTCTGACATCTGAACTTCGATTACTGCCGTGACGGCGGTTTAGCGCATCGAAAACACACACGCATACATACACAGAGTATTGCTGCAGTACCAGGAACCAATTCACGTTTACGCACACACAAGCCGACTTCCCTGAAGAGAGGAACCGCGATAAAAGTGACACGTACAGACCACAAGCTGGCTAGGGGCTCCTGCAACCGCCGCAGGAGCATAACACAAAGGCAGCGTCATAATCGTCAAGCAGGACCTTTTACACATGCGTGCAAGTCAGATTAGGAGCAAAAGCATCGTTTAATCTTTTCATTTTCAAACACAACTTCACACGTGCTTGTAGAACTGTAGAGAAGGTTTTCCTTTACAGAAAGAGCAGATCTTTGTGGTGTAGTTGTTTGTTTCTATCCAACGATTCATCACAGCTTTTAGACGACTAAAACTTCAAGATTCTACATTTTAAAACACTGATTATAAAGAAATGCTGGTTTAAATTTCCATTTTTACTAGTTAAACCAATGGAAATCATTATCAGCCTCACTAATTCTCCAGTTGTAGCGGTGAAACACGTCACACCTCAGTTGAAGCCTTCACATTTAGTAATGTCGTATAAAACGGTGTTTGAGTTCCTGGGATTGGCAGTTCTTTTAATATATGTTGTGGTTTTCCTGTTCGAACACGGAGGAGAATCTCCTTCACTGTTACTATCACAGTGATTCTGTGAAGAAGGGAAAAAAGAAAGAAAAAAAACATGCAAGAGGCACACTGAGCACGATCCTTCCACACTTTGTAATCTTCAAATGCAATAAGAAATCTCATGCTGTAGAGTCACTGTTGTTAAGTAGAATAATTTATTGCAGTTCTTTATTTATTCCTCTGTTTCGGTTCATTAACAATAATTACAGATTTAAAAGCTCAGAGCATTTACAGAGCATACAAACATATTACATACACACACACACACTACAATCAGAGACTTAATAATGGAAGCTTGTCGTGGCACGTTTTCGTCGAGGTTGCCGGCGGTTGCAGGCGACTCTAGAAAGTGTGCCGAGCCTCTTCAGCATGTCAGTGATCATCACTATCATTCTGTTGCTATTTACAGTAACGAGATGGAAATACTAAGAGACAGACTCCAAAAAAAAAAAAAAAAGAGTATTGCTCTGAATTTCTCATTTAGAAACTTGTTGAGGACTGTACAGAGTTAAAAAATAAGAATGATCGAGCGTTAAGACTTCAGCTGTGTGATGATGGCACAGAAAGAAGAAGAAGAAAAAAAAAAAGAGGGCTGGAAAGCAAAGGCAGGAGGAGGAGAAACAGATTTAAAAAGGAAGAGGAGATAGCTAAATGGAAATCCGAGTGTGCTTTGTTCCAAAAAATGTACAAATCAAGACGTGAATTAAGGTTAAAATACACCGCTCCCGTTCAAATGGATCAAACACTGCTGTTAGGAGAGAGGTCGTCCGTTACATTCGTCTCTCCCCTCATTGGTTAGCTCTTAAGATTATTGCAGTAGTAAAGCTTCATTCATCTGATTAAAGGAGGGGGGCAAAGAGAGGTTTGCCCCTCGACACTGACCTGCGTCTGGGTTCCGAGAAACAGAAAGAAATGAAAATGTTTTCCGTCTTACTTGGAGCTATTTGAGTATTTCCAGGTTTTAAACACAACTGTGGGGTGACGAAACAATCAAAACACTGAGGTTTGTGTGTTTTTGGGATAATTAGTTTACCTTGTAATTTCTATTTCTTAGGGAATCAGGATTTTATAGTTTGCCAGTAGCTGGAATTTTATTTTTTTTTTAAATAGTTTTTCGGCATTTTGTTTTTCATATTATAGAAAACATGCTTAGTGAGGTGCTAAACAAAACTGAGCTTATGTCAGCGTCTCAGGGGCAACCGGCGGATACATTCAACCCAAGTGTTGCTCTGCTCGTGTGCAGACCTGAAGATGCAAATGAAGATTCTGATGTTTTCTCATGAATCCTGACACACCTGACAAGACTAGCACACTGACTAATATACTGTAGAAGTCTTTGAACCTCACACAAAATCAACTTTTTACTTATTCTTCTAAATATACCAAACGATACTTAAGATTTTTAATTAGTAACCTGTGTCGCTATAGACTGAAAGAACAAATGAATAAATCACAGCATGAACTGACCACTCGGTGAAGAACTATTATGCATAAGTACTACGTCACTCATTCAGCAGCATTCCCTCCGGTAATATGTTTCACATCCGCTCTTTTGTTAGTCATGCTGCTGATTGTTGATTCGCTCGGTGAATGAGAACAGATTGCGGTTGTCTAATCCCTACAGGCCTTAAACTATGCACTTAGAGAGAACCAGCGTTGTAAAATGAATGAAGAAGAAAAAACAACTCACTGAAGTCAAAGGTTCTGTTGCATATTTTAAAAAATGCTTTGTTACAAACCACTCAAGCGACTTCTTGTTCCAACTTTCCTCAAATGCCAAAAAGCCGCCTTCACCCCAACGTCCAAATGTTTGCTAGCAAGTTTAAAAAAAAGATGAGGTGAGAGCTACGACGTCAAATTAATGTTTACAGTTTAAGACCTGCTCCCTCCTTGCTTATGCTGTGGATTCGTTCACAAATTTTCCAACAAGTAAACGGGAAATAATTAGATGATTACTTTACATGTGGAACAATAAGAACTAAAGTAAGTGAAGAAAAACACCCACCTGCCCAACGGAAGCTTAAAGTGGCAGAAAACTGCCAACAGATCTGACATGCGACGGTGACAAGGCGAGTGCAACTGACTGCGTGTGTGCTGCATGTATACCATGAGTGTGTTTAGCATAGTAGTGATCACCGCTGCAAAACAGGAGCAGGGATCTGCTGTGTGGACATAAGACACAAAAATAGTTCTTTGAAAAGTGTTTTGAACAGCTCACAGCAGTAGCATGTTGGCGTGTGTGTGTTTAAGCTGATACACAATCGATTGGAACGTTTAAAAAAACATTGCTGGTTGCGTGTCTCGACACACGCGGGCTGAAAACACGACCCGACACATTTGAATGCACAGAAAGCCAAATGTGCTTTGAGTTCCGCTCGAGTTCGACCGGCGTCTGGTTTTTTTTTTTTTCCTCTCTCTTTCCGAATCTTTCTTCATGTGCAAACACAAATTGTTGAGATGCCTCCGAAAGCCTCTTAGACTATTCACATCACACACTACATGGAAATATTCTGCAGCCAAGCTGGATAGGTCTTCTATCGCACTTCACTGTCCTCGGTGTGTGAGGGAGACAAGTGCATGAATTTGAATGTGTGCGTGTTGCCTAATCCAGCTCAGGTGAGTCTGGTGTTTCACTCTCTATGTCTGCGTCTTCCGTCTTCTCTCCAGACTCCGGAGCTGTCGCTTCGTCTGTTTCTTGCTGCAGGTCTGTGTCGGCCTCCTGAGGTGCGACTTCGTCTTCTACTCCCTCTGGAGCCTCATCAGTAGGCGTGACCAGCTCGGTCGTCTCAGTGGTTTCCTCTTTTACTGTTGCATCTGTCTCCGTCTCGTCCATCGGCGATCCGTCTTCGTCTCTCAGCTCCTCTTCCTCTCTTCTTCCGTCGTCCTCCTCCTCCTCTGCAATGGAGGCGTCCGGTCCCTGCAGGGAGCTGATCCCAGGGACGTGGCCGGTGCACGGGTGCAGGTGCGGCGAGTCAGCGGGAGGCAGCAGCGTCAGCGACTCCACGCTGAGGGTGTCTGCGTTGCTGTCGGTGAGGAGGGAGATGGTGGGCTGGGAGGCCGGGGTGAGGCTCGGGGCCAGGGCCGGGGCTGAAGGAGTAGAGGACACGAGTGTTACTTCTCCTCCTTCACCTTCTCCGCCTGACGACGAGGGCGGGGTGTGCTCCAGAAACGTACCATCATCTAGAGAAAGGTAGAGGAGAGAGTGAAGCAGGGGAACTCCAAGGATTCCCACTGTGGCAAGAAATGTGGTTTTTCTGGAATATGGTTTTCGAAAAGTAGTTTTTCTATATTTCTGCTGTGCTAGAGAAGATCTGAAGAGATGGTTCTCTTTAAATGTAAAGTGATAAAACAAAAAGATACCATCATATGAAGTTAAAGTGGGGAAAAAGTTTAACAAATGTGCAAAAACTTGTGCAGAAACTTTAAAGGAGAACTCTGGTTTATTTCATTTTGGCATATCTCCTGTTAAAGTGGCTACTGTGGCTCTAAGCGTCGGGCAGACTTTGCACTCTTTTGTGTTTGCTTTCAGTCAGTCCAACACTGTTCACGTGCTGTTACGTGTGACTCTTCATTTCACTGAAGCCTGACAACAGAGGTGAAGAAAACTAATTGAGCAGATCCACAATGTCCACATTAAAGGGAAACATGCCCAGTTGAAACAAACTGGAATTCTCTTCAAACTTGAGAAGCTCCCTCACCTAGAACACAATACATAAACAACGGGGACCTAAAACCCCTGGAGATTTGTCACCAACAGGAGAACTTCATATGGTTTCAACAGAAGCATGTGCTGCAAATACATGTGAAGAAACAGGAACACTGACAATACAGTAACTGAGAACAGTGTGTTCACCAAGTGCCACTGTTTGCTTTCATTGTTTACAGTGTACAAAAGAAGCTGATCCCTTATGACAAGCTTAAGTCTGTCAATAGAGCACAAAGGACTCTTGGCAAAAAGAAAGAGGGACAGGGTGGAAACACTGTTCAAGAGAAGCAGCAGGAGTCCTACTAGTGTAACAGTACAAACTATCTACTACTTTGTAAACGACTACGTAGTGTACTTACATTGTAAGAGTGTGAGGGGACGGTTTTGAAAAGAAAAATAAAAAGAAGCTATTTTATAATAATCACCGTCAAATCAGACTGAGGGGGCAGACAAGATGGAACTAAAAGGAAAACATAAAATCATCCAGACCTTTAACTCGCCTGACAAGATTTTGAAACAAAAAAAATGCTCTGCAAACCGGAAAAGCAGAATACAGCTTTTTCCGATTTGCTGTTTTTTAATCCATTCACGTGTTTATGTGTGTGCTTTCAATAACAGAACCTTAACGGATAAAGTGATTGAGATAAAACACACTTGGGAGCTTTCTAAGCAAAGCTGTGACTAACAAGACAACTTCCACACAGCATTCAATCACATATTTATATATTTATGTACAGAATTAAATGGTCAAATTCTATTTAATCAACCCAATCAGACAGAGTACCCAACCTTTCTAAATTCTTAGCCCTCCTAATGTAACTATGACCTGCTCTGATATTCAATTCACTCTCACTTTTTTTTTTTTTTGCTGCCCTGTTGACCCTCGACCAACCTTCCTAATTTTTTATTGCTCAGTACTCTGGCTGCCAGTTGACTTTCCCCCGCAGGTTTGTTTTGGTCACTTTACATTTTGCTCTATTTGTGTTTTGCAGTTGCCTGCTAACAATGCAGTAACCTGCTGATGTCTCCATGCGCTCGTTCACACTCACACGTATGACAGTGTCTCTCAGGAGGCACATCAGGAAAGTGGTTAAACGTGGCAAGCATTTTAGGATAAGCAGGATTTTAGCAGCTAAAACCAAAGTAACAGTAACTTTGTGGGCATTTTAAGAAAAGCTTGCTTGGTGTACCACCCTAAATAATCTGCTGCAGGAATCTACTGAGGGGCAGTGCAGCCCTGCAACCAGTTTAACGGGTACTTTGAGGTGAACGCTGTGTCTATTGTGTAAATAGGCATTAACAACAAATAACATCAACATTTCGAGCACAGCGTCTCCTGTCTATACGTTGTTTGTATGAGAATGTGTCTCATACAAACAACGTATAGACAGGAGATGAAATGTTAACACTTAATATGTGTGCACTGCAGTCACAGGAGTACATGGCAGTGAACAGCTGTGGTTTTGGTGGGTTGTGTATATTCAGTATATGTATATACCAGAGTTCTACACAAGACTCTAAATGTGCAAAGTAGCCGTGGGTGTTCTTTATAGAGCAGATTTACTTTCATGATAATGAGCACAGTGTTGCTCTGTCACAGGTTGTTTTCATGTCTCGGTGCAATTTACATTTCTAAAATTTAGGATTAACATTTTAGTCCAGAATCTGCATGTTATTAGTACAGTATGTGCTTCTTTACATATATTTCTGCAGTAACTACGGTGTGCTGTTTACGCGTGAGAGAGTGTGTGTGTGTGTGTGTGTGTGTGTGTGTGTGTGTGTGCTACCTGTAGGGCTCTGAGCTGATATAGTGCTCGCAGTTACAGAGTCACACCTTCCTGTGCTCCCACTCCCACTGGAGGGAGGCGAGGGGGAGGAGAGGGGTGAGGGACTGTGCTGTGGCACACAGTGAGCCACCGCAAAACCTGGGGACGGTGCAACAAAGACACACACACACACACACACACACATAAACACACTGGATGTGTTACTGCTGCTGGAATACTGTCTGACGTGACGGCTTGTGACATAACGTTTTGGGCTGTTGTGTGAAGAGGTAAAGACAAACCTGGCAGCAAATGCATATCAAAAAAACTGTGTAAAAGAAGAAAAAAAAAAAAGCTTCAACTTAAACACATGAAAAAATGTAAATATGATTGTGGCATGTGCAACATTCGGGAGTGTTCCTGTGTTGATTTTAGGAAGAACTTGATTTTAACTTCGTCTGCACAGCACATTACTATAATTGGATTTAATTTAAGCAAGAAATGATTTTGCGTGTGCTTCCTAAATGACTGTGGCGTATCTAGATGTTATTTTGCATAATTTAGTCTTTGAGTTTTGTGATATCGTTGCACGTGAGGCTTCCCTTTGATGACTCTTTCATGTGGACTCTTGCTGATTACTTTGCCCTTCTGTCCAGCAGATGTGCAGTTTGGTCTGAAAGTTTTCTTCCAGCTCTTGTCTTGATTTCCACAGTTTCCTGAACTTGACACTTTCACATAACATTTTGGATGTAGGCTCCTTTTCAGATCTCTGGTCGGTGGGTGTTACCACAAGGTTTGAAAAGTGAGAATGTTTGTCGAGCTCTGCAACCGACGTTCTTGACCTGCTTTATGTCTCCTAATGAGTCATTTAAGGCCTAAGAAGTTTGAGGTACTTTATATATTTCAATATCTGTCAGCTGCAGGGGATGTATTTATTTCTTTTCACTTCAGTAACCAAATAAATGTCTAGTTTTCCCAAAGATGACCAACAGACTGTGAACATGTATGTGCTTTAAAATGATGAGTCTTTCTCAGAACCTGCAGGTACAGAAACATAAACCAGGGAAAGAGATATGGAGAGATATGGCAGGAACAGAGATGGTGCTGATGTGAACCTAATGGAAAACTGTAGAAAATGGCATTTCACATTAAAACACATTAATTCGGAAAGTGAAAGCAAAGTCAGGGAGGTTTTCAGCTGCATTCTGAGCAGATTTACCGACTGTTAAGCTAAAGATCAGATCACAAAACCATTTCCTCGGCTCAGATATTATCACCAGATGGTTTAAAGGTCAGTACAACTCAGCAAGAAATGCTTTTCTAAGAATCAAAGAAAAATGTCTTTTCTTTGTTCCTGAAATGCTCAGTGTGTATAAAGCCAAGAGTGGAGCTTACTGCCATTGTTTCATGACGTTTGTATCCACATACATGTCAAGATTATCTCTGAAGTCGTGTCTGTCTGTTTATTACCTGGTACTTTATCAACGGAGGCAAAAACCGATCTGTTTGCCGTTGGGTCATTGGGCGCCCGTCTCGACTGCTCGTAGAATCTAAATGGCAACCCGCTGGGCGAAGCGTTGGCTGTCTGACCAAAACCCAACACTTCTGTGGCACTGGGCTGCACAGGAAGGTCCAACAGAGCTGAACAGAGAGGAAGTGGAGTAAGGGGAGAGTGTAGCATCAACCTGTTTCATGTTACAGTCAAGGACTAAATTCTGGTTAAAATATTTTGGTTTTCACTATGATCATCTTTAGCAAGAAATGTTTTTGTTTGGGTGACAGTGAGAGAATTTGAAGCTGTTCTATGACCTCAGTGGATATCATGGAAGGGTCCACATCCTCCTAGTCTTTGCAGCATTGACAATATTTGTGTCATTAGATTTATGTTATTAGTTTTATGTGCAATTGGACCATCAGGAGGGAAAGTACATCTGAGTGATGGGTAAATCTACCACCTTTTGTGTTAATGCACACACAGAAGCACCATCTGCTTCAGCTTGTACATGATAAATACATACAGGAGCAGCTTCTTCTAGACATTCAGGCTTTTGACTGAGACCTTTTAAAATTACCTCGAAAAGAGGTAAAGATTATATCTAACTTTCCGATCTCCAACATTCATTTTGGCCAAAAAAAAAACAACCAAAAAACTGAACTGTGGTTTCCAGACACCATTTCTGTGAATCGTTATGGGTAGTAGACATGCACGGGGAAAAAAAAACAGAAATAAGACTGATACCTAAAGAGGAGGAAGTCACTTTTTTTAAATTTAAAAGAAAGACAGTGTGTAATTCAAGGAAATGACTGATGCTTCAATGCTCTTAATGAAGAGAGTAGTTTTCACTTCTGTTGGACAGTAGTTTCACTTATACTGAATTCAGTTACTGTAAATGTATTTGGACTTCGCTTTCTTATTGTGATTTTTTTTACGTAACGTTTATCCTTTTTTTTTTGAGAAAGTTACGATTTACAACACGTGAAATTAGTTTTTGTTATATTTTCAACGTCATGTACTTTTGTTTTTAAGCCTTCTTCGCTTCACTCATTACTTTCAGTTGAACAGCTTGTGCGTTTTCTTGTAAAACTGTACTGAGCAATTTCAAAGTCGCTTCTGAAACACTTGGAGCCGGTGAGTGAAGAAAGCCACTCTGCGCTTTCTATGCAAAAACGAAAGGGTCACTTTGAGAGAGGGCTTAAAAAGCTTTTTGCTTACTCACCTGCGATCCTCTGCATCTTCATGCGCCGTGCCTGGATGCGACCTTTGGCCAGCCTCTGCTTGGCGATGATGCAGCGGATGTGGTCGGCGAAGATGAAGTTGGCCTGCAGGATGGGCAGGGGCTTGGCGTGGGGGTTGGAGCTGGGTTTATGGATGACGATGTTTAACGCTCTGCTGTCGTCCTCAACGCCAGACACCTGCATGTCCTGGTGAAAGAGGGAGGCAGGAAAGACAACGACAGTTTCAAATGGGAAAGAAAAAGAACAGGAGAAAAAATTTAGGATTAAGTGGAATGAAAGATACAAATGGGTCTCAAGAGAGATGAGAAACAGATGTGGGACATGAACTTCACATTCACTAAGGTGAAAAGGAAAGAAAACATCTTATATAGACTCAAAACAGACAGGAAATACAGTGTAATGAAACCTACAAAACATCATGGTGACAATAACATGCGGTATATTATTTTCTTTTTCAGAAATGTTCAGAATAGAAAACTTAAATGCAACATCACTTTGTCCTCTTTATAGGATCATGCTGGCACTGCAGAATACACGGTAAACAGCACACAGTGTGACTAAGCACGCCTAGACTCAGCAAAACACCAAACAGTATGTTTGTGTGTCACTACAGGTGTTGGGAAAGACTCGTATTTCTCCAGTAAAAATGACCCAGCGAAGTCAGGAAACAATACATTCACATCCGTTAGAGAGAAAAACACTTTATAAGAATAAAAAGAGGAAGGACAACTTGTTGGCAGTGCGAAGTGGGGAAACTTAAGACGACAGGGAACTGGATTTTTAAAAAAGCCAATGACGTAGCTGCAAACAAATGATCTACTGAGTGAGTCACGGTGGAGAGGGAATAAGCTTTTTCTTTTTTTTTTTTTTTTTTTACCATCTTCTATAGTAGGATTATTAACAGCAGGGGGGCCTCATAAATCTTTTGTTTTTTTGACCACTCATTATTTTCTTTTTTTTTTGTAGCACGATGAGATGATATGATACGATATGGTATTACTTTATTGATCCCTTTTCAGAGATATTACTTTTGCAGTTACATCCTGTCCAAGAAACATAAAAAAGACAATGACCAATAACGGGGGGGGGCCGGGGGGGGGACTTTTGGGTTCGGCCGGCTTGGGCGGGGCCCTTATCATTAGAAGGAAAAGGAAAACATGAAGGGAAAACGAGGGGAAAAAAGGCAATTACCAAACTAGGCTCCTCACACACAGACAAGGAAACACCACTTTTCTCTTACTTGCAAGAGGCCGGCAAACTTGACGACACCCCACCCGAGACGTTTGGTTTCTGGTTCGACCAGACTCATCTGGTACACGTCTACAGCCAGGAACCTCTGGGCTTGGCCGCCATCTTTACTGACCACCATACAGGCTATAAGGTCACTGTTATCTAGAGAAAAAAACAAAAAACAGGGGAAAAAAAAGACAAACATGGGGTCAAATGTTTTGCTATGACATTTATAGAAAATTTTATATATACTTCAAAACCAAATTAATGAATAATTCGAAAGATAATGGGCAGTTTAATTAATATAAAAGCATGTTTATTAGTCTAATGAGTAAGTTTAGAACATTTCAAATACGCTGTTTGCATTACAAAAATAATGTAGCAAAACAGAGTCATGACAATATTAATTAAGGATATAATGTAGACATTCTACAAGAGTCAAATTATAATCGCAGGTGTCTCTTTAAGTCCTCCATTAAAACAATAAAACAAGAAGATTTCAGCTAACACAGCTTACAATGACTTCACACTTAAATGTCACACTAATCTACACAAACACAGACACAATTAATGAGGATTATTTCACTGGAGCATACTCGATAAAATGAGGACACCGTAGCTTTAAAAACCTACTTCTGTTTTATGCAACAAACGAAATCTGACTATACAGTGTGTCATCTTCTTAAGAAAAACCTTGGTGCACACTATAAATGGCAAAGATATCCTCCTTAAAAACAGACCAAAAAAAACCAAAAAACCTTCCTTCCTGAGAGCAAGCTGTAAAGTGCTACCCCCTGAAACATAAATGAGTTATAAAATGTTCTGTAACCGAGTCAAGTTATGTTTTATAATTTGGGCTTCATGTGGCTTTATTCTAGGAGGAGATGCATGCATAACACACACACACACTGGCAGACAATCAGTCAGACTGCTACTTGCACTTAAAAGGCCAGAGAAGGTGCTTTGCTCCCACATGTCTAGGAGGAGCATGAAGAAATGATAAGCAGCATCTTCACTTCAGTTTACCACAAAGTCTACAGCGAGGTTAACACGAAATGTGGAACTGATGACAGTCTGATTTGACACCACGAGTTTTGGTTTAAATATCACCCACTCTGACTGCTTTAAATGTTCAAATGTAACGTACAACACCACGGGTTGACGTACAACCCCTGATTAATTTCATACACATGTCCCTTCCTCTTTATAATATTCACATTTTTGGTTCCTTGAAGCTATTTTGACCAACCCACTTTTATGACTAAAGCTACACACGTGAAACCAATTGGATCTAAATGTAAACTTTCAGGGGTTTTGTCCGTTTATGTAGCCCCTACAACCACTAACAGCAGCGTGTTTTCTCACTATTTTTAATAGTTCCACTATTTTTGGTGTTTTCCTGAAGGCCAGACAGCTGCTGATGTACATGCGGCCTATGAAGAGATCAATGGGGGTTGCCAGTAACTCAAGTGTACCTACTGAGGGAGTGAAAGCAAAAAAGAAAAGCACCTGCAGCTGTTGAGGTAGTCCCTGACTTTCTATGGTACTGAAGGGAAGCCAACAGCCGAATGGTCAAAAAGATTAGGGGAAGTCCTACAGACTGAATACCCAGACAACATGGGGAAAAAACCATGCCATCCCCAATGTCTACTCAACTTCTACAGAAAGTGGTCAGCGTGCCTGCCCGGTCAAAAAGTATTCAAAAATGTGGGACATTTAATTTGCAAAGAGGTGACTCTGTCCGGTAGCTTTTTCAGGATTATCGAAACTGTGATGGTTTCAACCACCGAATCTGCTTTGACAGTACTTTCAAGCAGACAAACTGCAAGGAAACAAACTTCTATGAAAGAGTTTCGTTATTTGTGAGGTGCAGTATATTTCCATATATTAGTAACGTGTTTAAAGAGGGAATCGGCTCAGATGTGTGCTTACTGTATTTCATTTTTTTCTGACCTCGATGACAAGCTGAATAAAATAAGATGCCCTCTGTTCTCCCGAGTAACAAAACAAGCTATGACTAAAGCTGTTGAGTTCAAAAAAGCACCAGACGACAATGTAGCTCAACCGCCACACTTAACTGCCTGAATGTGTTTAACACTCCTGGTTCTGCAAAATTTCTGCTGAGCTATGAAGTGTCCCCAGGCTGCAAAAACACAACTACAGTTGACAACAGAGTGACTGTAATCGCTGGTGTGGTGAAAAACAAACCAAAAAAATCCCCAAAATATGTGGCTCCAGTTTTATAGTTTAGATTCATGCCTCTGATTGCTTGAGCACTTTAGCCGCAAGTGACAACCGCTCACGCTTGGATGTGTTAATTAAGAGTAAGTAACACATAAAATATGTGCTGCTGGATTATCCAAAATGAACATTTAAATAAATCCTTTGTAATGGACCTGCTACTAGAGGATGTGGTGAAATGGAGGGGGTGGCAGCCCATTGGTCAAAAAAAGGTGTTTGCGGGTGGAAGGTTGTGAGTTCAAATCCCCCTACGCATGAGGAAAAACCCTCCCTGTCTCCCACGATTACTCTGTAAGAGCGTGTTCTTAGTCAACCACCTCGCTTAAAAGTAAAACCAAAAAGGAAAGTCTTTTCAACCACACTTGGTTAGAATTAAATGCAAGATAGATGATCAGAATTACCAAACAGACTGATGATCTCATGATCTCTTTGAGTGACATAAAGCTGGAGTCACGCATGATGCGATAGCTCTTTAAGGCTATCTTAAACTAAAATCACACACTCTCTTTCGACTGGCATTTGGAATGATAACAGCCACAGTTTCAACCACTGAAATAAACATGAAACTTCAGGGAGATATTTGGTTTCAGTAGGTATTCATACATCTATTCACTGAGGGGTTTTTGGTTTTGGGATACACACTCGTCTCCAAAAAAAAAGAAGGCATTAAGAGAAACTAGGAAATTTCAAATAGCAACCATGACACATCTCCTGAAACCAGTGCAGCAACTAAGTGCACATTGTTGTATCAGTAGTTTGTTCCATTTATCAGGCCACCGGTTTACATCATTGATCGTTCGGCAAACGTGTTTCCAAAAAGTACAGAACCTGCAGCTGACTCAATACAGATGACATGATAACGTTTAAAGGCCACGGCTACCTAAATCTGCCAGAGATGGTCCACCCACCACTACCGAGTAAACAACCCTGTGGAATCTACCAGACTCTTTCCTTTGTTTATAATTCTAAGAAGTGGATTTAATGGTATACTGACACCTTTTTTTTTTTACACTTGAAATGATGACTAAATACAGTACACAACAAAACCGAGTACAACCTACTGCAGTATCATTAAAATGTTATCTAACAATAACCGTATGATTTTGGAGTTGAAGAGTAGAGCTTATATAATTAAAACAAATGCTACATAATATTGAAATTACAGGCCTGAAAGTGCAGCCTCAATACGGCAAAAGCGAAGGCATCCATCCTTAGTTGTTTTTTTTTTTTCCATTTTTGATGACAGATTGGATCCTTCTGGGCGGTGTTGATACCAGACTTGCACAAATCTGTGGAGAGATGTGCTGCCATTTTTCACAGATGACTCTGTTTAGCTGATTTTTGGTACTGGAGTTTTGTTTCTCTATCTTCCACTAATGCTGGATGTACATCCTGGCACATAGTCATAGTTTTCACTTTTTTTCATCTTTAAAAATCTCTCGAGTGTTTCTTGCAATGTGTATTCATCGTTATGAGACTAGGATTCACATGTTGATTCAATATTTGGGTATACATATTTGTATCTACACTCCCATTCATTAGCACATGCCGACCTCCGTGCTTCACTGTCAGGACTATGCATTCATTATTGTAGTCTTGTTTGGGTCAATGCCAAACATGCTAGTCCACTTTTGCTAAAAAATTCATTTTGGTTGTATCTGACTAAAGGTTCTTCTCACATTTAAGTTTAATCTTGCAGTTTTGTGCTATTTTTTTAGGAATGTTGTTTTCTTGGACATCCTCCACTGAGTTTGACTTCAGATAATGTCCTTTGCAGCTATCGCTGACACTGTAATCCACAGATAATCTTTGTGTCAAGTCGGACGTATTGGTTCATGCTTGTGTAAATATTTAATTGATCCTGGTGTAATTATTTTTGAGGGTAGCCACTGTGTATTCTGTAATTAGTAATATGGCTTTTAAACAAAATTAAAAATCTCATAACCACTGCTACAATGTGTTTCAGCTTATATTTAGTAGAGTACTAGTTATCTTGTACAATCTCCTATCTTTGTCTCATATTCTGGTTTCTTTTCTTGTTCAGGCAAGTCCTTCTTATGTGGCGCTATGTTGCAGCAGACCCAGCCAGGGTAAAACCTGCTCACAGCTTCTTATTAAGCTAGTTCATAAATGAGCCTTAATTTGAAATTACAGGTTTACTCTCTTTTGTTGCATGAAATTGTGCTTTTGTTGCACATTGTATATGACATACGGCCAAAGAAAACAAAAGAGAGACATCTGAGTTACACTAAAAACATGCCAACTACCTTTAGATAAACATATACCTGCTCATATAGGGTTGAGAGGGGCTGGATGCACTGAGGGCAGGTTGTCAAACTGACACATGTAAACAACCATTTGCAATTACAGTCGCAGCTACAAGCAGCTCAGAGTCATTCATTCATTTAACTTGCATGTCTTTAGACTTGATAGATGATAGAAAAACTGTGTCATCTGAACAAACTAAATACTGGAGATCCAAACACGAAGCAGAATTGCTCTCAAGTGTCAGTACCATTAAAGATGTGTTGAAATGTATGACGAGTTACTCCAAAAAGAATAGAAACCTATATAGTTTAGATTCCGTAGAAAAGAATCTGAGCATGGCTGAGTCACACAACACCAAAGAGGAACTGAGCAACACTGTTTTGACAGCAAAGTCTGTTGTATATGTTTTGTCTGTTCCATGAAAACTCTCTATATGTTATTTGCTGATTATTATTTTCAGTGAAATGCACAAGAACCGCTTCCTGGTAACCAATCGAAGAGCAGTCATGGTTACACTTTTTCAAAACCACAAAATATTTTCATAGACATAAAGCACAAAGGTATTTTTGCTGATGGTCTTCAATATTTGGCCTAATATGATTAGATTGTTTTAAATGTCACATGGTTGTTGTTTTCACTGTTGAAAACCAGATGATCTTTACTGGAAGCCACTCAATTATAAGTGTTCCAGATAAAGTGGAAACGACGCGCAAATGATGTTTATTATTGCTGAAAGGCCTTTGCCCTGGCAGAAAGAACAGATTTGCTATTCGGCCTTTCCTGACACTGACCAGGGCTTCCCGATCATTCCAACACATTAAGCAGCGAGAAAAAATAGTAACTGGTAAAAGAGTGAAAACAGAAAATCTGTTTCTGCTCTTTTAGGAGTAGCTCTACTTTTCATATATTTCAGCATATCTTCAATAGTACTGGAAGTTGTTGTGGTTGTGTTGGTTGCTACCTCCTTTCTCTCCCAAAACAGTTTCCAGATGTGATTCAAAGCAACAGTTTTGCTCTTCCATATACTTTCCATACTTGGTTTAGTTCTCTGGCATAGACGTAAAAGTGACAAAAAGAGACAAAAAATGAAGCCAGACTTATCCCATGTTTGAGAAACACTAAAATTACCTCTAACACACACACACAGACACACAGACACAGACACACACACAAAAGTTTGTACTTATTTCCTGTTACTGTTGGTACAGTGTGAAATTGCATAGGATGAACATCACAAGATATTATGAAACCTGCTGTTTTCAAGCAAAGCCTGTGGTAGGCACAGGCCTCCACAAAAGCTGCTGATAACCAGTTAGCATATTTAACTTGCTAATTTATCTTAACTTCAACTGCCAAGCCCATGGCTGGGTGAAAGATCAGCAACTTTGTTAATATTGTGTTGACAAAGTGGCTTGCCTCAGCCAGACAACATTAGGAGTTCCTGCTCCTGTGAGTGTCAGTCGTTAGTAGAATCAGTTCATCAGTCCCCCTCTAACCCCATGAATAGGACATGTGATTGGACTGTACTACAGCAGAAAGCAAACAACAGATCAATTGCAAATGCCACTGCCTCCAGGACTCAACCTTTTGTATTCCCTCCCCACCGACTGAAATCTAGGAGTTTCAGACCACAGCCGCCAGAAATCATATGACTCGAAAGCACACGACAGTGTGGGCACATCTCTGAAAAGTGGCCACTGTAAACTGAGCTCTGACAGAAAAGTCAGCAATATAAGTGCAAATTTGCATCTGCAACTGTTTCAAATGAGGATTTTCCCTTTCAAAGCCAAAGTTTTAGAACTTTTTTTCCCAACTTATGCGCAGCAGTTGTCGGATCACAATTTACAAGGTTTGAAACCAGGACAATGAGCTAATGCACCAGGAATGACAGTAATACATATTCGAAACTTAGATAGTGTTGGGAAAACACTTTAGAAAGTGAGCTTCAATTGTGAAGAAGATCAAAGCATTATGCAAGCCTACATCACTTGGTTTCAATCTTCCAAAACCCTTCTTATTAGATTACAGCTTATAAACACTGAGCTTCAACTTTTCACAGCTTTTCACCCCCAGTTTTGAAACATGACACCATGTTTGATCTCACACATTTGCACCATATCTTCAGCAAACTGAGAAATGGAGAGCCGTGGGGTTGTGACAGTAAGACATTTACATGTTAACTGTCAAAACCTTAGCACACAATACATGGAGGAACCACAAACGCAAGCATGCACGTCAGCATGGATTTGCAAAGTTCGTACCCTGAGTGTGTGACAGTGCCATCACTCTCATTCACATCGCTGTGCAACTTGTGATATCCTCCACAGCAGAGCTAACCACGTGAAAGTTTCCATAACACACACCTGTGCACAGTAAGAGTAGGCTGTTCAGGGTATGTCAAGAGTGTGGGAAGCAGTCTGCAGAGGAGCTTTTCAGTGACCCTGTGCTCATGTTTGTGTTATTGTGGTTGTGAATGTTTGCATGTGCATGTAGCCGTGTATTGTTAAGATTGTACTCATGTACTTGTGCCCTACATCTACTAGTTTTTTTCACACAAAGAGTGAGAAAGAGAGCAGATAAGAGAATGTTTCTTGTTTGTCAGCTATCTATACTGGAATTGTAGACAGATCAAAATTATAAAGTTATTGCTTTCTCCCGGTCTTAGGGAGGCAAGTGTGTCATTTTCTTTCAGTTACTTTCCTGGGTTAAACTTCAGCTGCAATAATTAGACCTAATTTTGTCTTTAATGTTGTGTTTTCCCACCCTGACATTTAAATCTGTGTCCCAAAAGTCAAAGCATGAAAAATCAATATGCACATCAGCTCTAGCATGGAGTAAAGTTTTGTTCACAGTGTCCGGTATGCCTCTGTGTTTTCTGTGTGTCTTACTGAGGTCCAACACGTCGTCTGTCTTGATAAGGTCTTCAGGTCTGGTGAGCGGGAGTTGAGTCTCGGGTTCTCCCTGAAGCTGAAGTGATAAAGACCGCAGCATGAAGAACACTCGAATCGCCTGAGTGGAGAGAAGAGAGGTCCCACACAAACACACACAGACACACGCAGAGAAATAATCTGTTAAAACAAATGTTCTGCTTCAAACTGGCAGTTACAATGAACATGAGAAAAGAACAATCCCATAGCTGTGCTCCAACTTGGCTTTGACATCAGTTATTCAGTATCCGGCTGATACAGTGTATCTTTCAGTACCATCTTTTGTTTACAGCAAGCCTGTCATTGTTGGCAGAGAACAAAACCAAAAGTATGCAATATAAGGTACACCCACTATGATTGTTAGAGTGTAATTACATAGATATTGAAAGTGCCACCTATTGTTAAAGTCAAGCTTATTCTGATGGGTCGATTTCAGGTGCAGCACAGCCTTAAGGCAGGGCTCTCCAATCCTGGTCCTCGAGAGCCACAGTCCTGCATGTTTCCCTCTTCCAACACACCTGATTCAAATGATCAGGATCATTATCAGGCTTCTGCAGAGCTTGATGATGAGCTGATCATTAGAATCAGGTGTGCTGGAAGAGGGAAACATCTAAAACATGCAGGACTGTGGCCCTTGAGGACCAGGATTGGAGAGCCCTGCCTTAAAGGGAAACTCAAATACATGAGCTGATTTATTTTGAATCTAATAACCGGTCAGGCTGCTATGTGGAATGCCAGCTCAGTTTGAGTGTATGAGAGGACACATTTGTAGCAAGCTTGATGTTTTTGGCAGAAAACCAACATGTGTGCTGTGAGGTACACCTGCTCTGAGTTATAAAATGAACTAAGTGATCTATTATTAGAAAAAAATCCCCCCTGGGTTGATTTCACCAGTCTTGAAGGCAAAGTGATATTTCAACAACAAGATCGGATTTCCTTGGAATCTTATCAGACTTAAGTGTCATGCTGGACTGAGCTTGTGTGGACGCACCCTGCGTGTCTTCTCCACATCTCCACAGGGAAGTCTCTTGACAAAGTCGATGCCAGTCAGAGGGGTGCCAGTGGGGGGCAGCAGTATGGAGGCATCCATCATTAGATATTCCACATTCAGCGGTTTACTCTGCAACATACACATGTGGATGAGTATGGAGAGCCCCCGAACATGAACCACTTCCACATCCATACGCACAATCGCAGTCTGTCTCTTCAAAAAAACCAATGTCATGTCAAATGAAGGCTAACCAACCGTCATGCTCCTGTATTCATCTTCAAACATGTCCAGAAAGATCTCCTCCCCCTGCGGTGACAATGAAATTGGAAGTCACTTGAAAGCAAGACAGAGTGTGTAGAGAGGGGGGGGAGCAGTGTGATTCACTGCTTTGCTTCAGTTGAAATACCAACAGTAGAGACAAAGAGAGGAAGCATGGACAATTAAAACAAAAAATTGTGCAACAAAGCTTCCCATTTCAACTGAAACCCTGACGAGCCTTAACAAGCTACCATCGTATCCTGAAAAGATTATTACTTGTCCAGATTCCCACTTCGTTTTACTGATTCGTTTATTCAGTGCCAAACATTCTGTGGTTCCAGCCTTTCAAATGAGAGGATTTGCCATTTTTCTTTAAATAAAACTGAACGTCTTCAGGCTTTTGGCTGTGGAATAAACAAAAGACACTTTATTGGATTTTGGGGAAGATTTATTTTAGCATTTTTTGTACTGTTTAGACATTCAAACATTTGCTAAGTTAATTAAGAAAATAATCAGTAGATTTATTTGCATTTAAAGTGGTTGCTGTGCTAGTCGTATTTCATGCTAATTCATTCTTAGCTGACTCATGCATCTGTGTAAAACAACAGCATATGCATGTATACACCCCATCACGACACCTTCAGATGAGTATCACTCTCCGTGGGGACAATGCTGTGCTCGCTCGTTCTGTCTGTGGCCATATGCTGTGGTAGCTTCCCAGTGTGACCACAGTTTTTCATAAACCAGAGACTTTCATAACAACTGAATGTTCCTTCTCTGGAAAAATGAAACTACTGCAAGCCCCCTTGTACTGAACACGAAACTGAAAGCAATGTGTGGATGTCAACTTATCTGCTGTGTGTTCTATCACCTTTACACAACATTAGCTGGAGAGGGATTCTTAAATGACCTTCCATCAACAGAATGATATTATGAACCAAAACAGGAAATGGCAAAGAGGGAAAAAAAAAGTTGTTTGGAAATGCACAGTTGAGCAATTAAGTATAGAGGACAGTGGTTGTTTACACTCAGTTTAACGCGTTCATCTAACTTTCCTGATGACGTCTAAGCCAAAATATTCCACTTGTAATTCAGTTTTTAAACAGAGGATATTTTTGCCAGAGGAGGTAAGAGAACCATATCCATTCATGCCCATGAGCCATAAAGGAATTAGCCAAAGCTAACCCCTATGACTGATTCCAAAACTGATATCCAGAAACCATCAAAGTGAAACAGAAAATGCACTGAAAGCATTTCGCCATCATTTGTAAATATGATACTATACAGCATATGGAAAAATTTCCAGTTTCATCTATTACAACTTCAGAGAAATGGCCTCAGTTATAGTCAGTGGATGCAATCACACACACTACAGTAAAGCCTTATCTCCAGGAGGTTTTATTTTCGCTTACAGGAATTTAATGACAAAACAGGCTTACCTAGTAGGTTTCGATTCAGTTCTTGTTATGACACTAAACAAAAGCTGGATGTAATGCTACAACACTTGTTTACCTGCGTTGTTCCTGTTCTTTCTTTTTTTGTTTTGCCATGCAATATTACTGTATGGCCATCCCACTGGCTAGCCGCCAATCTGTTTTGGCAGCCAGAAACGCAAAAGTTAAAGCTTCCAATCTCTGAGAGCTGAAATCCCTTTGTGCTAAAGCAGTTGGCAGAGGAGGAATGCAGATTTTTTTCGCCAACATCGTTTTTTAGACAATGTCAGTGTCTCTCTTTAAGCGTTTTCAGCTGTCAGTTGCCCTTTAACCTTTCCGTCCTGACACTTCTTGTGTTTGCATATTCTGTATATCTGTGGGCAGGTGAGAGATGAAGAGAAAGGCACCTGTTTTTGAAGGTTAGTGGTGCTTATGTGCGTTTAATGTGTAGAAAAGTGCATTAATATGTTAGAATGTGCATCAGGGTGTGTCACTGTATATACTTACTTTGTAGAATCTTCGCAGCAAATGCAGACTTTCTTCTCTGGCACCCTGCAAACGCAAACAACAGTCTGAGGCATCATTCGGGTGACACGACCATACAAATAAATAGTCAACATGGATGCAATACACTGCCAATACAAGTAAATATAAAAAGTAAAACATAAAATGGTAAAAATATTCTGCATACCACAAACTAAAGATAACGTCCCAACTGTTTCTGTTTGACAAGTAGTCATTATATACTATGATAGTAAAATAATAAAGTTTCTTACTTTTGACTTGTACTTCTCAAAGCAAAAGCTTAACTCTGTAAATATTCTTTGTGTTACTAATTTTTTTTTATTTTTTGTCAAGTGGACTATTTCTTGGTTCTGAGCAACTGCAAGGCACTAAGTGGTGGCTCCAGGAAGCTCCAGGTTGCTAACAGACAGTGATATCAATCTTCTCATCTAATTCTCAGAAAGGAAACAAGTGTACTTCCTATAAAGTGGCATCCTCTTCTTTAAATATTACCACATTTCCTCGTACAGGAACATGGTGTACTGGAATATAGTGTAACTATATGCCAGGTGTGCGATGCAAATTTTCAGAAACGATGCTCTCTGCACTGCAATGTACAACACCGAACAGCTCACCTAACATCACAGCTTTACTCATACCTGCTGTATTGTACTGTGAACGCGAGTTGACTGGTATTCCTCAGAAAGGCAGGCGTGTGGCAACAGCACTTGCGTGAGCATTTACCAGTGAATTTTCATTATATATTGTATTAAAGCTCCTGCTGTCACTCCAGTGGTGTGTGTTTGGTAATGCTTCCTTTTTCAACGACAAAAGGTGCTTCCTGGATTTATCCTGTTGGTGAGTTAGGCAAATGGTAGCGATTTGCAGATAATGTTCTTCCTGCACTGGCTTCAGAACAAAAGGAGTTCTAGATAATGATTATTTATGGTTACCTCTGAACAATGTGAAGTAGTGTGTGATTAACAGTGAATAAACTAAACCGAGAAAAGCTGTCCTGTTTTACAGCAAGGCATTAGTTACCAGTAATCAACGACATAGTCATCTACACATGTGGACAATTGTTGGTGCCCCCCAGTTAATGAAAGAAAAACTCACAGCGGTCACAGAAATAACTTGAATCTGACAAAAGTAATAATAAATAAAAATTCTATGAAAATTAAGCAATGAAAATCAGACATTGTTCATCATTTTTGTCCAGGCCTGTTTCATGAGTTTATTTTTTATAATAATTCTGTTAAATCACGGTTCAAAAGCAATGTCTGATTTTCATTGCTTAATTGTGAGTTTTTCTTTCATTAACTGAGGGGTACCAACAATTTCGTCCACGTGTGTACATCCCCACCGCAGGACAGGAAGAGAATCAGGGTCGGAAAAAAACAACTAACAGAAATTAGATTGTTTCTTGCGTAACGTATATACCAGAAGTGAGCCTTGTTTAATATCGGTTACAAACAAAATGGTTCAAAACTGCATCACCGTTTAGTAAATGCATTACTTCCAAGTAGGACAGCAGGATATTTGCTCCTATGCAAAGTTAGAAACTAGCAGTTTAGGTTAATTAAACTTAGTACAAAGGATACCACATTTTTGGAAAAATGTTCTGCCACTCCTCAGAGACTAGTTTTTCCAGCTGTTCTTCACTGGAAGGGTGGTGTTGCTCCTTCACTCTCTTCTTATTCCCCCAAAGGTATTCTAATTAATTCAAGTCAGGCAACATACCCGGCAATATTGTAGGCGTCATTTATGGTTCTTTGGAAACTGCTGTGTGATTTTGGCAGTGCACCGTAGAACGTTATCATGCTGGAATATTTCTCTTCCTCCGCAACTTCTGCACGCCCACATTTGTGCTTCGCTGTTGGGATTTTGTATTAACTGTTGTAGTCTCGATCAGGTTTGTGCCAAAACATGCTGGATCCCATCTGAGCAGGATAAATTTGCTTTGACCTCATTTGACCAAAGAATGTGCTCCCAGTATTGACACACAAAATCAGATTTTTATTGTTTACCCCTGTGCCACATCTGAAGCACTTGCCCATCTGTTTTTTGGCGCTCAATAGTGTGCACAGTCCATGCTGTTATTTATTGGACAACCAATTAATTCACTATGACTCATTTTCTACCTCCTAATTACTGCTGCCGCTTCGTTTTGACAGATGTTCAGGTGGGCTCCGATCTGTCTCTATCCTTTTTCCATCTTTGTGAAGACTCACAATCCGATAATTAAATTTAGATGATATTACACAGGAATGTACTCTCTTCTATTGTATACTGTATTAGATGGACCATAACAGAGGTCCAGCAATCGAAAGCTCTATGTGTGACAAAAGAAAACATAAATAATTCAACTAAGAACAATGATTACAATGTCTTCACCATTGCCATTTCCACTAAACGAGCATCGCTCAAACTGAAAGGGTCTCATCACTTATAATAAACTATGCCACAGGTGGGAAATTCTTCAAGCAGAAAACCCCACTGATGGCAAACTGATGCCAACAGGAGGCATAAAATGACTTTGAAATGACAGAGACAAGGTTTTGATTCACTTTCAAAGAGAAAAATGTTGTCAAAAAATGAATCCAGAAAAAGCACATGAGCTGTAGGACAATGACTTCCTGAAACCTCATGTGAATGTAAAGAAACAAAGTGTTAGGAGAATCAGCCTGAAGTGACAATAATGGAGATAGAAAGGTTTCCTGGAAAATTAATTTTAAGAAAAGCAAATGACACAAGAGGCAAAGAGGAAGAGGAGTCTGACGGAGTGAACAATGAAAAGAGCAAATGTGAAGGTTTGGGAAGAGTGCTGAGGAGATGAACAAATACATCAGTCAGCATTTTAAAGAGAAAAATATACTGTCATAACCGCACATGAGCCTTACTGGGAAACCCTGAAGATATTCTGTAGAACTCTTAAATCCATCTACAAACGGTGTGTATCACTCTTACGATCTGCCCGACATCAAACTTTTCACCTGTCTGTTCTGAAGCTTTGCTCTCTGAAATTCATTGTGTGTGTTTGTGAGATAATTAAGTCCACGTGCATGTGATTTGTTAACAAAATGGTTATGTGTAAAAGCATAGCATGAACAAGTTTGTGTGTGCTGTACCTCCAGGCAGGCCAGATGGACATCTTTGATTATACAGTCGTTTCCAGACAGCACAGACTGCTTTAATAGAAGGCAGCTCAACTCAAGGGTGGCGAGACGCACTTTACCGTCTATACATGTAACAGAAAATATGAGTAAGTCATGTATGTTCCCCTTTGAAATATGCAGGAATGAAACATCTAATGGTAAGTTGTGTATTAATCACACAGCCAAGCACAGAAACTGAACTCATTATTAACAACATCACATATGACCACCAGTGACATTTATTGACCCCAGTGACAGGAAATACACATCTGTGTGTTTGCATACCCGGCTGCGCTGCCTGGTTCATAATTCTGATTAGTCTTTCAACCAGCACCAGGCTGTACGAGCTCCTCTCCTGGTCTGGAACTGGCAACTGCAAACGCTCCAGAAGATCACGGTTTATGCCTACAAACAAGCAGACCCGTTAAAAAACTAGAACTGAATGCTTATTCGCCACTATAAACATCAAGACTGTGATCTTGCAGGATTGTTTAGAGTTGATCTTGGGTCATTAAGTGAACTGTCTTGTCTTCGGTTCTGATGCTTAACTTGAGTGTCAGCTTGATTAAGGATTCTGAGCATTGACTTTTACTAATTAGCTTTATCATCACCTTGTTCTACAGACATCTACTTGCAAAAAAAAAAAAAAAAAAAAATCAGAATCTATTGTTTAAAACATGGCAGTGATGGCGAGACACCTACAATTTTATGACTTTCCTAACTTCCTTTACAAGGTGTCAAGCATTACATTTACACGTCAAAATGTCTGACATTCAAATGTCAATGCACTGCTACTTTGTCATTACCTCTACCTGTGTCTACTCTGCAAACCTAAACAGCTCATGCAGACATGTAGTACCTAATCTATGAAGAAGTGAAAAGAAAGGGCAACATAGCATTACGTTGAAAAATTATTAAAAAGTGGATTTTGCAAAATAAGGCCCCTCTCAGTGACCTGTTGAGCAGATCAAGACATTATTAGGAATTGTCAGCTGAGGACAACATCAGAGCTGATAAATTTGTACTTTTCAAAGTTTGTGAAAACACTGAAATTGACTGACGATGAAAGAATAAAGTTCACTGATGCATACAAACAAGCAAAAAGCTATCAAAAGAAAAACCTTTAAAACAAGATCCAGAAGAGCCAAAAACACTAACAAAATTGCATATCTGCTGGACAGGAAGAAAGCACATCATCAGGTAGGTTAACCGACATAATAGTGCTGGTGCATAGTTCCGCTGTGCAGTCCTGATGCACAAACAGGATACATATGGGGGAAAAAAAATCAAGGAAACCTCAATAAAAAAAGTCAAGGTCTAAAGTTTGCAAAGCAACGTCCGGGTAAGCCGGAGACATTTACTGTTTGTAGTGAACACTGAGCAAGTAAATGGGCAGAAAGGCCAACCTTTGCTGTGTGACACTGCATAAAGCAGGCAGAGGACAAACAGTGCGTGGTAGTCATCATTGGTGCAGTCCAGGGCACTGTACACCATGTCTAAGAACGGCCTGCAGGAAGACAGAAAACACATCAGTCCACATACACTGCTGTCTTGTATTCATTCTTTCCACTTGTGGACCAGTCTTAGGCTTCAGCATGTACCTGCTCCTCTGAGTGTGTGTGCGGGTGGCTGCGGCGGTCTTTTCCTCATCGGTGATGTTCTGCTCCGTGAGCTCTGACACTTTACACTTCTCCATCACCACCATCTCGATCTCTGCGCAAACACACACAGATGCATTGTTTTTACTTACATATAACGGTCCATAAATGTGGACACCCCCCTCCCCGATAAACTGCACATATGATTCATATTCACATCACACGCCTTCAAAACACATCACTGATATTAAGAAAATGGGCTGCTGTCACCAGTGACTATGAATGTACAGGCTGGAATGTTTCCTTCTCACCCTTCACAGCTTCAACAGTGATGAAATGTACTGAGGCAGCAAAAAAAATTTACTGATAGAACATTAAGATGTAAAGAAAAAAACACCCAGTTATGCACAGAATGGCAACTTGTTTACCATTTATGGTTTTAAAAGTTTCTCTCTTCAACCTGTTAAATAGTGTAGGTGTCACTTTTCCACCCCAAAGGGTACACATCTCATTTTGAAACTCTGTTTTCCTCTGCTGCCCACAACACTACTTGTGTTTAAATCCACGCTGTCAAAAAACATTTCTGTGCATTGGGGTCCTGAGAGGCATTAAAGATCTGCAAAGACTCCTGTAAACAGAGTCAACGCTGTCATGGTGAAGGAGGAATCATTTCAGATGAGTGAAATGGTCACAGTTTAATAGAGACACTAACAAACACACAGATGCACACACAGAGCAGGAGTAAGAGACAGGCGGAGAGGTGAGGAGCACAGGATGGATGGTGTGTCACTGTGGAAATGGACAGTTGGCTGCCATGGAGATTGTATTGAACATGTGATCAGTGGTAGCTATGGTAACCATGGGGAAATCAAAAGGTGCCACACAAGGGATGCAGCAGAAAGAGGGAGGCCTCATACAAAAACTAGCCAAAGAGAATTTTTTAATGAACAGACTTTGTTTATCCTCTGCCTTTTTTGGTTTTAGGCTTCAACACAATTTCATTATTTGCTGTTTTTACCACTGTCCTCTAACAGGAATCATGTATGTGTGAAACTGTCTTATAACTGAAGAAAAGGCTGCGTTGCATAATCTGCAAAAGCATTATAATGACAGTCACATAAACATTTAATTATTCAAATGCAAAGCAACAAAGCAAAGCACATCATCGGTTAAAAATGTTGATGTTAACAGAAATTGAGCTGGAATTATGTTTTCAGCTGCTTTTTTTTTTTTTTTTTTTTAAATGAGTTCTCTCTCTTTTCTGTCTGCAGACAAAGGCTGCTGCTGTGGTGGCTGCATGGAAACCAGGGTGCATGGGGGAAACCACGTCTGATTGATGGGAGTACAGAAACACTCACAATCACAGTCCTGTACTTCTGTGTCCAGAGAGACACGCACTCACCTTCCGCCGTCTCCCCACTCGCTCTGCTTCCCTTAGAACTCCCACCTCCTCCTCCTCCTCCTATTCCCTCTGTACCTTTTCCCTTCTCCCTCTCTCGGCCTCCTTCCCTCTCTCCTCCTCTGCCGCTGTCATCGTCCCAGCCTTCCTCTAACCCTCCTCCACTGCCACCTCCTCCCCCTGCTCTTTCGTCATCCTCCTCCTCGCCCAGGTTCTTGTAGTTTGGCCTCTTCTGTGTTCTCTTGCGGCCACGGTGGCGAGACAGCTCCAGGGAGCGCTCCAGAGACTCTGGGGGCTTGATGAACCGCCGGACACCTGCTGCGCTGACCTGTTAGCGAAGAACAGAGTGGACAGAAAGGCGAGGATGTGAGAGGAGTGGGAATATACGAGGCGTGTCAGAAAAGTTCCAGGACTGGTGTCACAAAAGATATATTTCAAACCCAAACTACAACCTACGAGTTTTCCCCTTCAGATGATTAACCAGCACGTCTACAGAGAGATCCTACAGTTTGCTTAGTTCAGTGAAGAGGCGAGAGTTGCTGCAGGACAAGTCGTGGCTGCTTCACCATGACAACACGCCTGCTCACAACGCCCTGAGCATCCCACAGTTCCTGGTTGAGAAGAACATCGCCGTGCTGGAGCAACCTCCCTATTCACCCCACCTGGCTCTGTGGGATTTTTTCCTCTTCCCCAAGCTCAAGGGGGTCAAGAAGGGAACCTGTTTTGAAGACGTGGATGACATCAAGATGGGAAGAAGAAGGAATAATCCTTCCAGGAGTGCATGGCGGTGCGGCAGAGAAGGCTGGGGAAGTGGTGGGACTTCAGGGGGATTACTTCGAAGAGGAAAACTTGTAGTTTGGATTTGAAATGTATCTTTTGTGGCACCAGTCCTGAAACTTTTCTCCTCGTATGACATGCCTGGAGTGAGAATCACAGAGCAATTATGTTATCAGCTCTGTATTATGTCAGCATTCTTTACGATTATCGTAAAATCATCAACATGTTTAGTTACAGTGTATTTCTAAGCAATTCTTTTTGGTCAAAAAAACAAAACAGCAGCCTTCGTGTGACTTTAACATCCACAGTGGTAATATAGGGGTAACATGGCACAGTGACTTGAAGTATGTGCCAAATACTGGGAAGTACATCAGATAATGGTTCAAAACAGCAGAGACGGAAATGGGAAGAGTGCATTAAGTAGGATGTTAATTTTCCAAAGCAAACATTGTCACGGTCGGAATACTTAGAAGAGATCGACTGTCCTGTTTCCAGAAGGCAATATTACCCCTTACGGGTAGATGCACAGCCACAAAAACGACAACTGAAAACCACACACACACACACACACACACAGACACAGACACAGACACACACACAGACACACACACAGACACACACACAAAACATGCATACAACAAAAATGCCTTACAGTAAATGCTTCTTGCACTATCATGTTGATCACAGTCCTAAACACAAACCACTTCCTCCTCGATACACTTTTTTGGAGCAGAAGAGAAAATGACCAATGGAGACACGACCACACGTCGACAGTTGAGACCTTATCTGTGAGGTTGTACTGGAACTATAGAAAAAACATTTTTTCAACACGTAGCTGTCAGACTTACACATACACATACATGACCCTGCAGGAAACAGCTGGTCAACGATAAGATGCTGAGCAGTGACATCCACGCCGACTGACAGTAAACCTGAGTAATCATGACACAACTGCTACTGCTGCAAAAAATAAAACCGCTTATTTACACCTTAATCTTGAAATATGTAAAAAAAAAAGATTTGTCAGAGTAATTTAATTAAAGAAAAAAGGGATGTGACTTAAAACTAATGAGGACCTTAGTGTGTGCCGTCAAAGGAGTTACAGTTAGCAAAACACCATAAAATAAAACAAACCAAAAGATAAAAACTGGTTGGTCACAAAGGCTGCAATTTAGGAAATACAAGGTGTAGCTACAAAATGATGAGGCTAAAGCTGTTACTTTTTTTTTTTTTTTTTTTAATCCAGACGATTGCAACTTTGAGGGGTCGTGTATTCTTGCCTGTTTCTCAATGCATATGAGGTATTTTAGGCATGTATGCTGTAGTTTGACTGACTAATTATTTAATGGCCACATCTCATTTTTCAGCATGTCTGACCGAGTGCTTTTAGTGCCATCTCATATGGTAATCTTACATTATGTTTTAAATCTATTGCTCTTGGTTTTTCAGAGGGTGGGTCAAGCACACGTTATCAAACCAGTGAGCAGAAGCTTCTTTTTGCTGCTTTGGCAGAGACCTCGAGAGGTGAGGCCTCATCTGCACCAGTTTTACTCAGCGTTCAGGTTAACCTAAAAAGTGCACTGCTAACACCATAAACTCTTGAACCTCTGTTTTAATGACCTATTTAAAACAGTATGTTTAGTTCCTATAGAGGCCCTTGGTGCGTGTATATTTATATCCGTGTGTATATGATACTTTTTTATTTTTCCGTAGACTTGAGAGAAAACCCTGTTGAGAATCTAAATAAGTTGGAGCTACAATAATTACTCAGTTAATCTGCTGGTTGATCAATAGTTAGTCAATGAGCAGCTGTTTTCATGACTGTTTTTTCTTTTAAGTAATTTTCAGTTATTTTTAAAAATGCAGGGTTTTCTTACATTATAATAAACTGAATATTTTACTTTTGGAGTGTCGGTGGAACTAAACAAGCCATTTAATTTTTCATTGAATACAGCAGTGCTACAAAATAGGAGGCCATTGAAATCCAACAAAGTTGTCTCTGTGTGGGTTCATTTCTAAAAAAAAAAAAAAAAAAAAAGTTCAACTTTGTTACAAAAAACTGTGAGCCAAAGGCCTGACTATCGCACACCGAAACTAGATAGCCCTATTTTACTTTACTTCTTGCAGCAACACAAACCACCAAACACACATGCACGTGACCAAGTGGGAACATAGATGCACACATGCACACTGAGACTGAAGCCATAGGCCCAGCCTCCGTATTCAAATTTATACTCACGACAGCCTCTGCTGCACTTTCTCAGCATCTTAGCAGCTTACTGGAAGCAGCTGTGTCCCTCATCATTCACAGCTGAGAGTTAAAACTTCTTTAAATACAGCTTTATTGCCTCATTTCTCCCTTTCTCCTCAATGTGCTCTTCTTTGACTTTTCTCTGTGTTCTTTTGAGAGCAAAGCTGGTCTTCAAACAAACAAAAAAAAACACTAAAAGAAGTTCTCTATTTTACATCACTTTTCACAGAAGCATCAACCCTCCGAACCAACAACACTTACTGGACTTACTTCCGTCACATTTTCTGTCACTGTGGCTCATGAAGTGGCATTATGAAGTCATGCCCTTCTATGGAAACAGCACAACCAATTGCTAGAAATAGAGAGTACTGAGAAATGAGTGAGACATTTATTAGAACCACAAACTGTAAAAAACTGAAAGAATTATCAGGTTTCCAACTTTTTGACAGTCTTTGTACTATTCATCTGTGATATGCTGGTCCTTCTTGAAACCTAATTAAATCTAAGGTTAGTAATGCAGAAATAAACAAATGTCTAATTTCTTTTATTAGTCATACTACAAAATTTAAAAAAAAAAACAAAAAAACAGAATTAATATTTTTTAAATACCCACAGGTGTTACCAATTGCAAAAAATGGTGACTGCACATACTGTAGCTATCTGACAGGTTTTTTCTTTTGTTTATATGCTTGTCTCCTGGCTGCTCTGTGTAAACACTGCCTGCAGATCAGCTGAAAAGCTCTTGAATTACTGTCACAGCACTGTTGGTCGCCCGCTGAGTCATCAATGACTACATGGCTGCAAAAAGGAGAACAGAATTTTTTTTTTTTTTTTTTTAGGGTTTTCTTTGTTGCAAAGTTTTTTTTTTTGTTGTTTTTTTTTTTTTTTTTTTTTTTTTTTAAATGAGATATGTAGGAAAAATAATTTTGATGACATTACACAAGTTAAGGTTTAAATTTAGCTTGGTTTCTTGACAAAGCGGCACATCACAAATAATGAGTACAAGTACAGTTGCAAAGTTGAAAGCCTGACTATTCTTTTTATTTTTCACAGCTTCTGCCTCTAATAGACGATGTCGCATTGGCCATTTTTTAAAAGAAGCAATTTAAGCGTTACTTAATAAGGCTCTGAATAACCAAATATTAAAGGGAAGTGGTTGTCAAATATGTGTTTCCGATTAAGTCAGCCCTATTTTTAAAATATTACTCTGAAAAACGATAACGCTAAAAACTACAGCTTCTACTTTCCACAGAACTTGTTTTATTCCTGTACCTTCAAAACACTGGTATCTGTATCATCTCTCTGTGCTGCTGGTATGCCTGAGCAGGATTGTACTGTAACTGCTGCTGAAAACACAATGTGCATGCCGTCAGGCATAAACCACAAACTAGTATCAGTGTGTGTGTGTGTGTGTGTGTGTGTGTGTGTGTGTCGCACCTGTTAGCTGACTATATTCTGGTAAACCGCTCACAGTCTCAGGCAATGCTGAGAAATTAATGGGGGTCAGAGCGCATGTGTGACAGGCCCATGCACACACATACACACCACGCCTTTGCACGTAAACGCTTTCAAAATAGGACACTATTTGCAACATACATATATATATATACATATATACACATATATATATACACACACACTGGTGTACACATGCAAATATTGACATCATGTATTTAACTGGTGCACTTGCAAGTTAACACATCTACAAAAGCGAGCGAGAGAGAGAGAGAGAGAAAAAAAAACTCTTCTTCCAGGAAAGAGATCTGGGTTAGGTGAGCCACCTCTGTCAGTGTTCCATCATGTGACCTAATTTCCTGCCACATCACAGACAAACAAGAAGTGGCATCTGACCACCTGCGCAGAAACACAGCCCGTGCGCCTCATACATGTGCTTTTCATCTGCAATAAATCAAACAATAAAATCTGATGTGGCGGATATAAATCCAATGTGCATGTTTTAAAAAAAAAAAAAGTCAAAAATACTCGCTGCACATCTACATCGCTCATCTATCTGTTAGGCACTTCTGGGATCTTGTCATGAGCTCTTCCTCAACGAATCAAAAGGTACGAGCGCTTTCGAGCAACGAACAACAACACAATGTGACGTACGTCACTGCAGGTTAAATACAAGTAAGTGACACCATTTGAATTCGTAAAAAATCTACTGTTATTTTTATCCAGAATAAAAAACCTTATGACTCATGAACACTGTTAAATGCTGTTGTCCCTTTAAGAAAAGCAAGCCGTCAGACCATCTGTTGTGAGCGTCTCTGTGGCAAAACAGCAGAGAACAAATTGACAAAAAGAGAAAAACAGATGCCATCACACAAAATACACAGGATTTGCTTTTTGTGAAACCTAATTTTACTTTATGGGAAATCCTCAAATTAGGACAACCCAAATAGGTTCTATGTTCCATTTCTAGATACACTTTACTTCTCTTCTAATTTTCAAAAGCTCGCAAAGTGCAACGATAGTTAAACAAGTGACTTGCTGGCAGTCCTAGTTTGGGTCTGGCTGTCTCCTCTTGTGGTAGACCAAGTGTTGTAAGACATCACGCCTCAAGTCACATTCACTGAAAAGGTAGGCTGCTTCTTACAACAGCCACAGATCGAGCGCGTACACACACGCACACACGCACGCAAACACACACACACACACACACAGAATAACCACAAGGGTTCTCAGAAACGCTCACTACCTCAGCACACCCACCTGGCTTTATAAACAGATGGTCAAAAAAAATTAAGAAAGCGGGGAGGGGGGATGGGGGGGAGGAGCTATGAGGGAAGAGAAACTGAACCAGAAAAAGGATGGATGTGAGAAACAGAAAATGAGAGGGGAGGGGAATCAGGTGTGGAAGATAAGGGGGACACGAGGGGGAGACTGAGCGAAGATTAAAAACAGAAGAGGGAAATTACACAAAGGTGCAGGCGGAACCAAAACGGGACAAAGTGTTTCAATCCAAGGCCTGGAGAGGAGAAGAGGCAAAGCGTCGGAAATAAGGAAATAGAGTGTTTGAAAAAAAATGCAAAAAAAGAAAAAAACTATGTTAGGTAATTTGCATACTGCTGCCTTGATGTGGGTGAATCATGGAGAAAACCATGACCCCGCGATCTCATAACCACCTACACGCACTTCTGGAACTCCACTGTTTGTGTGTGTGTGTGTCCATGTGGTTGCTTGCGTGGGTGTGCTTGTGTGCATTTCTTGTTTGTGTGCTGTACTGCCTGTTTGTGTGTGTGTGTGCTTGACTTTTTAGTGAGCGCCTACCCTCACAGTGTACAATTTGAATAGATGTGCCTACATTAGTGTGTTTTAATCATCTTCCTGTGAGTGCAGGTTACATCAATTATTAACATGTGCCTCGTCTGCGTGTCGATCCGTATTGTGCGTTCAGTTGACATATTTGACTTTGCTACATATCCGGGTGCATGTATTGTGTGTGTGTGTGTCGGCTTGTGTAGTACCGTGTTTTTGTGCGCGCTGTGTATGTCTGTCTGCGGGGTGAAGACAGACAAGTCCCCGTTGAGAATAACATCGGCGAGGGCGTTAACCAGTGGCTGATAGTGGATGATCAGAAACACCTGGAGGAAAAATACATAAAAGACAAAAATAAGTGAAGTCTTTGAAAGTTAAATCTAAAATATGTTTTGTACATAAACCGTATATTTTAAAACATGGATGTAGTCTCTGTGTCTAAAAAGTGAAACCTGCATTCTGTATCATGTCCAGCAGGTGGCGAATCCTCAGGGTTGCAAAAAAGATGTCAGGTTGTAAAGAAGTCTGAGAAAATGATCCTACTTCTTGCTTGATTTGATCCCTCAATAAACACTTTCCTAAAGAGTTTATTGTCTCAGTTGTTAGGTGCAATTCTCATTTAACACAGCACAGTGGCCATGAAGCAGAGTGTGCTCCATGACGCGACGACCTTGTGACTGACAGTTTCCTATAAATGGGTGAGATTTGTGACCTGGGGCCTGGACTACGAAGCGAGATCAACATACCCAGGATATCGTTCAGAGATCCGGCTTGACTAACCCTAACAACGGCACTCTGGATAACCGATCCTACAACGGTGGTTATCAACTCGGTGAGTCAACCCAGGGTTTTCTGATCTGAGAATGAGCGCGTGCATATAAATGGGTGGCGTTATTGGCATCTGACCAATCCCGACTATGGACAAGTCTGCCTGCGGAGCGGCTTACTTTACCAGAACATAATCTTTACAACATATGAAGAATATAAAAACATTATAGGAGCAAAAAGTAGCACCGTTGCTGCAGCCAAAGCCAGGAAGGAATGCTGGCAGAAAACTGATGAATGTGTGAATGAACAAGTTCATTAGCTTATCATAAAATATGATCACTGTTCCATCATGAAGGCACGTATCAGACAATAAGCACATCTGAGGATTCCTTTTAATTAATTTGCTGCCTAATGTATATACTTGTGGCATATCTGACATTTTTTTACTTTCAGCTGCAACCCTGGCAGTAAAAAAGGACCTGGGAACAAATTAAGAACAAACATAAAAACTAAATTTAAACGCTTATTAACGTATCCTACAAATACAAGCTTTAATGGCAAAATCAGTTTACTGTTGTGAGGTGATAGTGGTATGGAAAACAAAACATGAAATAGCTTTGACATTGCCTGTAGCCAACAGGGAAAAAAATGAATGAAGGAAGACAGGAGCTCATAGAGATCCTCGTCAGGGTGCGCCAAGAGGTTTTGCCGGTCCAGAAAAACCCTCACACTCCTCAGTGATCCCTCACAATTCGCGCTCCAATGTGTAGCGGGTCTTCTATAAATGGTGATGTCATTTTGTTGACTGCCTCGTTTTCTGCTCCTTCTGAAGTTTTACCTGAGAGAACTCATTTTCAGTGGGAGGTGCTTTTATACCCAGTGATCTCAACCTTGAACATGACCGCAGGTTAGCCGTTCAGTCTAAGTTACCATGGTGATGTACTCTGGATTTAACCTGAAGTTACCTCGCTAACCCCAGATCCTGCATCGTAGTCCAGGCCCCTGAAGTTCAAAATTACTCCTCGCTTGTCATTTTTGGTTTAAAAAAACAGGATGACATTAGTCAAATTACAAACTTAAGGATTCGAGGGTTTCACAACTGGACAGTACTGACATGAACAGAACAAAAGTGGCTGGCAGATATGTTGGTCTTTGAGCATAATAATATGTTTCATGATGATTTAAACTGCATAACAAAAAGGCAGAATACCAGGAAGCTTAATCACACAACTAAAATGAACTGGTGATGGCTGATGGTGGTCTCTAGGGTGTGTGTTGCTTACTTGAGACAGCAGATAGAGGGACACCTGAGGGTTGATCTTTCGCTCTTCAGACTAAAAAAAAAAAAACAACAAAAAAACAAAATGCTAGTTAAGGTCACACATGTAGAAAATAGTAGTAAAAGCACAACTAGAGTGCATAAGCAAAAACAAAAATGTTGAGGTGGAATGATTAAAAAGTTTGATAACCATTTAGCGGGTTTTGCATGTTTAAAGGTTTTAACTCCAGTCTGCATACACCATTAGTTGTCACCTTCACCCACATCCACATTTATTACTCATGGTAATTATGATTTCACTTGTAAAACAATCTTTTATCCACCTCCTCGCAGCCCTTTTAATACAAGTGTCAGATTTATAGCATTTATGCCGAATAATAGTTTGTATTCCCTGCTCAATTTCCAAATAGCTGATGAATGCAACACTACTGCTTGGTAATGATAAATGGTGAAGTTCTACGCTCAGACTCTCACTTCAGCATGTGAACGCAGATTATTCCAGTTACTACCGCCGTCAACATTTCTAAAATTAAGGAACTCAATATGTGTTTCATTATGAAGCATGTTGAGGAAGTTTCAAGTGAGTTGATTTTGAAAGCTTACTAGCTTTAAATTAAAACAACGGGCGCATAGGAGGCTAGAAAAAGAGCTACACTTACACAATCTGGGACATAGTTGTCAGTACTGTAAGTTGAGCAAACATGATTTGCTAGGCTGATTGTGCAAAAGTCGTTAAGCAAAAATGTTACTGTAAATTGGAAATGGCATTAGAAATTTAATATATGTGGGGTTTGGGTTGTTGCTATCTAAATATTACACCTTTGAAGTGACTACACAGCTCTTTGTGATGTCTTTACAACAAGCCATGGCACAGATAAAAAGACGAAACTGTACACGAACACACACAAAGATTCTCTGACATGTTTGGCACAGAGAAGAAAATATGCGTATATATATGTGTGAAATAAATGGAGGAAACCAACTTTTACACAACCCGTAGTTTCCGCTTTGAACCTGTGAACGGCAGCGGAGCCTAACTCATGTAGAAATGCACTTGAGGGTAACATACCGTCTCAGGACTAACCAAAGAGTAGACATAGAGGGGCAGGAAGAGACGGTTGAGGAGGTGGTCGGTTAAAACGTCATTAAGGAATTCACAGTTGATAATGAGGATATCGTTCAGGTAGTGGAGATGGTCGAGGTGCTCCGCTACCAGGTCACTTAGCTTTCCTCTGTTCTTATGCCTGGAACACGACAGTGATAATCAGAGAGACATGCACTGGGATGTTATTTAGGTAGTGTTAAAACTAGTCTAAGAGGCTGTTGTGTAGTAAAAACTCTGAATCTACATAGAAGAAAAGTTACAGTCTTAAATTTAGACATGAAAACAAAATACATACAAGTAAAACTACATTATAATTGAGTGTGTACAATGCATCTCGTATAAAAATGTACTGCTAATCAAACGAGTACCAGGATAAAGGTTTCAAACCAGAGACAGGTCTGACCCCTAGAGGCAACAATGGGAAAGACACTCAGAAATGTAGACGACACTCACTCTTCATCTGTCTGCACACACTTGTCCAGTTCGATGACATGGCTGCCGATGAACCAGACCAAGTTACTGAAATACGGCACCGCTGTCTTATCCCGAATGTAGTGCAGCATGTGCTGGTTGTCCACTGGAAAGAGCAGGGGGTCAGGAAGAGGAGTTGTTACCAGCGCTGCCCACGGGCGTCAAATCCACAAACACCCACACACACACACTTTCTCATATGCACGCACACTTTGTGATCCTGCAGAGTTGCCAGAATGTGACAGTTAAATATGATTAGAAAAACAAAACACAAGCAGGAAAAAAAAATACTAAATTAGAGAGAAATTAAGAAAATACCAATCGAACTGATATTAAGGACACAAACTGGTCGACTGGATCCACTGTTAAGGCAACATAGAGGGAATACTACTGGAGTGGGGTGAAGAGGAAAGCTAGTTCAATTTTTAAACAACAGTGTGATTAGGGGTTTAAAAAAGCTTTTCTAAATTATTTTTTGTCTGTTTAATCCAAGCTTATTAGGTGTCAAACTGATGCTTTCTAAAGAGGTGCTGGCGAACTTTGCATTTGTAGTAATTCAGTTCACAAAAATATTCTTTGTGTAGTGCTGGAAAAATGTAATGTCCAAAGATTTTACACATCAAAGTGTATTTACATCTGTTCTGAAGCACCATGGCATGTGAGCCTTCAAGGGAGCTGCATGAAAGCTGCTGAACTGCTTTAACAGATGTCACTTGAGTTAGTGCTGTCTGAAGACTGCAATCTTTAGAATGAAAAAAATAATAAGAAAAATCTTGGGGTACATAGAGGTGAGCTTACCAGACCTCTGAAGCCTGTTCCTCATCTCTGCTTAAGGAAAGCAGCTCACTAGGTGCGACTTATGTAACAACAAAAAACCCAGATCTCACACTGAGCTGTGATCAAGTTACATTCTGGGTGATGTAGGTGCAAAGCAGGAGAATGCATGGAATAAAAAAAGAAATTATCTCAAGTACTGCTGGCATTGATCTTTAGTTTTCCAACTGTCTATTCTGCATCTGCCAGTGCTATAAGAGTACATTGCTAAATCAGTGCATAACGTTTTTACAGTGGGCAAAAATCAATAGCACAAAAAGCCTTAATGTCAGACTGAAGAGGAGGCTGAACGTTGTTGTCTCTACCTTTTTGGGCTAAAATGTAAACAGTGAATGAGAATAATTCATACGTCTTCAAATAAACATTGCAAGAACATCACCAAAGAAGCTACAGGGCATAAAAAAGAGAAACATTTTTACATATGTGCATTTTAATTTGCTTGGACTACGACATGACTGCAGTATAAAACACATGGCATGTCAGGAAAACGTATGGACAACTACAGTAAACACCTAAGAAAAGATTTAGCAAAGTCCTGCACTTCAAATGATATACTTGAAATGTCGGCCGTGTTGTAGCAACACTTTCTCATGCAAATAAAAGCAGATTGTAATTTTCTAATTCACACAGGTCAAACTGGGACAAGGAAACGCATGAGCAGCCAAATCAAATTAATGAAGAACACAATGAAGGAGGGAGATGCTGAATAAATAACCACAGTGACCAAAACTGTCAAACCCATCACCAAAATGACAACCATCATGAGGGGCTCAGCTGGAATTAAGTCTGTGGAATTAGTAACCCAAGAAAGCAAAAATATTGGAATGGCATGCAGGTCTTTCTGCATGTATGCAGGTCGGGTGATACAGAATGATTTACAAGAATACGAACTGCAAGGATACTCATACCCATACATTTATAACAAATACACCATTAGGAACAAGCAGGGCTGGGTAAGAACATGTGATTAAGCTTTTAAAATCACTTCACATTTTAAGCATTAACATCAAATTAAGAAATTCCCACTGACGGCAGCTATGCTTGTTTTTAAAAATTGCACTGTTGTGGCATCAATGTACATCAGCAAACATGTTACTAGGATACCCAGCCCTAAGATAAAGACTGAATGAATGGAACCAACTTACATGAAACTGGAGTTAGGCAGATGGGGCGCGCAGAGGGAGGAGGGAGAGGAGGAGGAGGAGGAAGAGGAGGAGGAGGAGAGAGACAAGGAGAGGAAGAGGAGGACGAGGAGGAGGAGGAGGAGGAGTGGTTGTTGAGGAGGAGGGAGAAGGGGAAACAGACACAGGGTTAATGTGAGTAAAGGGGCTGCTGTGGAGGGGTGGAGGTTGGGAAGGACCCCGCAGATATATTAACAAATAAACTGCAAACAACAGCATGTCTAGAAAAGGAGTTTCAATATTAATAAAACATATTCAACTTCAAAATTATCAACTGTTTCCTACTTTTAAAAAAACAACTTGGGGTTGTAACATAATTCGATTATATTTAATTAGTCTTGGTGCTGAATAAAATCCTTTTCTAGGCTGTCATTTGTTGTAGTGCATGTCCCAAGGAATCAGGAGGAAGCATCAAATGGGGACATGTTTAATACTATGATGTGTAAAAAATTATTGTAGTCTTTTTTTGGCACAATGCAGTTATTATTCTGCATCACAGGACGGTAGTAGACTGTGCAGGATACAGAGGCTCTGTATGGTAACATGACAATTCTCAGACAACAGAAAAAAAAAAAAAAAACCATCAGCCAGAGTTACTGCATTAAATTGATGCTTCCCGCTTTGACAGATTCCTTACTATTGAACAGGCCATGTCCAAGCTAGCAATGATACATCCCTCACACCACTAGGTTACTTTATAAATGACTTAAGTTCTGCTACGGTTAAAGTCTGTTGTGCTAAATGCAACTGTTGCTGCTGAGCTACAGAATCAGGATGACATGAACGACGCCAAGTTGTACGGTACAAGTGTTACATGCAGGACAAGACAAACGGATACAGACAGGAGGCCATAGTTGGTGAGTTGCAGAGATTTAGTGTTAAGGTACTGTTATATTATGTATGGTGACGATACATGTGTGCAGAAAAAGCCAAACCCGCAAAAAGCAACACCCGGTTCCCCTGGAGTGACAGCAGCCAGCTCCGATCCCAGAGGAGCCCAGAGAGACGGCAGGAAGGAGCGGCAACAAGCACAGCACAGAAAGAACACAGCTTCCAGAAAAGTCTTGATGTTCTGGACTCTCAGCATCGCTGCTGTGGCACTCTGTAGAATCACTTCTTTTGAAAAACCTGCAGCACTAATGCACTGCTGTTGTACGACTGATTGAACTTTAACAACAACTTTGCATGCTGGGTAATGCGGATTTGCAGAAGAGTTAGCTCCTTTAGAGTTAGTAAGCATGTGAGATCAGTGAATCAGTGATGCCGAACCTTGTGGTAACACTACCTTGGGCATTGCACACACACACACACACACACACAGTCCAAATTAACTGAACTTCATCCCTGTTAGCTGCTGTTTTAGGTACTTGCGTTCAAAACAAAACAACCAAACAAAACAACAACACAGTTTGTTTACTGCTGATTAATAAGTTGTTGGATGTTAAGAGCCTCGAACAAAACATTTTAGTCATTTCTACATCTAAATGTATAGTTTATATCATAAATCCTTCAAGCATGAAAGCATGATAGTGGCTTAACAGGAAGAGAATCACGATAAATGAATTAGAAGGGTAAGCATTAGCAGCATGTGCAGTATTTACATCCATTTATCTCTCTATACAACTGTGAATATTTAAATATCATGAACAAATGCTTAAATGAAAAACAACAGATGTTGCTGAGACAACAACAAATATATAGAATCAAAAAGTGACCGCTTGAACTACTACGTGATATTACGGAACAAAATCTCAACATACAAAAAATGTTCACATTCGACGTTCACATCCAGATCTTGATGTATGAAGAATCTGAATGAACTGTAAAGATTCCTATGTGCTTCCTGTCATTCTGCGATTTCAGCGAAATGTTAGATTAAGGATAAATGTTAAGTTAAAAGCAAATATTTACTGGGTTTCTAATCTGGGGAGCCACTCTTTTAACATAATAATAATAATTTAAAAAAACAAAACGCCTACAGAAGACAAGGAAACATTCAAAGCTAAAACTTCACCAAACAGTAAATTTCTGTGTATTTGTTACAGCGTTACCTGTTAGTCATGCTCATGCACCAGAAGCAGCAGCAAGAAGAAAGAAGGAGCACAAAGAAAGGCGGTAGGCAGTCCCAGCATCCCGCGAGTGTGTGTTTGTATGCGCATGTGTACACTTGGTTAGCGCATGCGTGTTCCTGGCACTCACCTTTGTAGACGTTGAGTGTGATGGTACGGACTGCGATGCGGACCATGCTTTCGGGGTGGTTGAAAAACTTAATGGCCTCGGTGTACAGGGCAAAGTCATTAGTGTGCTGTGTGTGGGAGACAGAGAGGGGGCGCCGGTGAGCAAGGCAGGGCATTGCACCGACGCGCTCAGGCCGTCAGAGAACACAGAGAGAGAAATGAAGCAGCTGGTGGAGGAAGAAATGCTAGGAAGCATGGTATTATGAGAGGAAACAGCTAAATACGAGTAACAGTTATTATTCCCACTCCTGACTCACTGAATCAATGTTGAAATACTAATTTGGGTGATTCTTTCTGCAGAAAAACAAAATATAAAAGTTATCTTGAGGTGTCAAAGAATTAAACCTAGTGAACTCTTTAGGGCAGAAAACTAAAGACAGATTTCTCTACTGTCTGTAAATAAATAGTCCACGATTTCCTTAGGGAAGCTGCAGTGTTGCTTGTTTCGCTATTAACTTATTCAATGACAAAGCAAAAATTTGCACTCATTCCACTGGATGACGAGCTGAACTACAAGGACTTTTTACTTCTTTACATTTTCAGTATGTATTATTATGTCAGCATGGTGGCACTTGGCAAATCTGCACATGACCAACCAACAACTTGAGATCTTACAGCCGTCTCTCTCTGTGCCAGTGCCTGATCCTCCACCCAATTATTCCTCAGTCACTGCGACCTCCAGGCAATCACAGTGGACAGTCACATTTTGAACAGTCACCCAGAAGTCACAGCAAATGAAGAAATCCGACCCTGACACCAAACCCAAACCAAGACTTTGTGCTCTGGTCACCTGTGTAGATCTGACAGGAACGGAGGAAAGAAAATTTGTGAGCGGTCCAATGGCGCCATCTAGTGGGGAATACGCCTTACAACAGAAAAGACTGTAAATAAATTATAACAAATAAAGTGAGGGATGAATTATAAATATGTTAATTATAGGTGAGGAAGTGATGAAGTTCTGTTGCATTTCAAATGTGATTTAACATCGGACTGACCGAATGTCAGGGAGTTACTCATGATACTAAATGCACTGTAGAAATCCAGGTTCTGGTGTCAAATGATGAATAACACAAAGTGACAGGAATTAAAAGAAACAAAAATTGTAATAGGTCACTTCAATACACAGACAAATACTGTCAGATCTACACAATGGGTCTGGTTTTGGCTTCAGGGGTAAAGCTACCATCGACAGTACACCAATAACTTTCCCCAGCACACACAGGCCAAAGACAAGACTATAGATACTGCTGAAACAACGAAGAGTAACATCACAAATTATTGAGGAGGTTTCTTCAGTGCATTGCCACAAACACACTAAGGAATATTTTGAAATAAAGGAAAGTAACACCTCTGAATATGTTTCCAAAAAAAATAAAACGCTGTCGTGAACACATTGGCCCTTTTTGGCATTACTGTAATTAATGAAAGTAACGTTGGTATTAGTGTGCTTGTTGTTGACAAGGTCTGCTAAATCAACCGATCTGCACAGGAAGCCGATGTTTTGCCACAGGAAGCGTGCTGCAGATTGGAAAACAGAAGCAGCACAAAAATGCAAGTGACAAAAAGACGTTCTAGATTCTTTAGCCAATATATTAAGGTTGCTCAATAGCAGCAGCACACCGTTATTTTCACTTTATATTTCGTTCCATAACTCACACCTTCCTTCCCTCCTTCTCGTCTGTCATACAGAGTACACACTAAGAGGTTCTGCCACTGAATTAAAGATCTGGCATGTTTCACCAAGCTTATCCTCGCTCTCACACACTTGTCCCTCTGTGGCCTCACCTCATTGTAGAAGAAGTGCACAGTGTGGTTGTTCAGTTTGAGCGACAGGGTCTTGAGGAAGGAGATGTAGTAAGCCATGATCTCCTCATCCGAGAAGTCGAACTTGTGGACAATGATGGAGTTGACGTGGTTGTTCGACAAGAGATAATCTGCGAGGAGAGGAGATCAGCTTCATGAATAACATAATTAGACTTGTGCATGTGACGCATATTTTAGCAGATTTTTTTTTTTTTTTTACAAAGATGTCTTTGTGTAATCTGCTGACATTCTGGCAATTTACCATCAAACAGCTCAGCATTTATTGAACAGTGCAGTGAGTGTTGTGTACAGTAAACACAAGGAAAGACTACTTAATTCATATTGGCACAATATCCCTGCAATTACAGTTTGTTTTTTTTTTTTAAATCTCTCCAATTCATCTAAATGCAAACCTTGCAAAATATCCCCCCGCTGCAAACCTGACAGTATATCATCTGTTGAGGTTTTGGTTTCCTAGCAACCAGAAGAAAAAAAATCAGTAGGCTGCTATGCATTGCATGTTTCAACAAAGAATGGCAGTGCAACATGGCTTGCACTGTTTAGCTCACAAAACACAGTAAAAATACTTACACATCTACGCACAGTATATTTTACTGCAATCCAAAACAACACTCCCATAGTAACAACTAGGACTGTCATCCTTCACTATGTTTTACATTTGATTTATTGGTTGAGGACTAATGTAATCTAATACAATCACAAACAATAAAAAATAAATTGAACAGGGGATAACAAACCAACCATTTCTTCCAGTTCTAAATTGCATTATTTGGTAACATGTTTCCAAAATTTTGCCATCTTCAGTATAATGTAGTCTTATACAACAACACCACACAATACAACCTCAAAATGCACCATCTGCTACCACGCAACTACACAACTACAGTAGCAGTGTCATGCAACACAGAACAATAGTATTTCAGTCGTAATTAAAGTGCATAATGTCTAATGATGTGGTTTGATAATGTTCTAGCGAATTTAAAACCAGGTTCAAATCCACTTTGGAATGACTCTGAATCATGAGTGATCTCAAACAGAACAAAGTTGATGAGATTAAAACGAGTCTAACTGGAACATTCTTCAGGCGAAACCAGGTGATCAGCTGCATCACTCCTCTCGAGAGGAACAACAATAAACTGTCCACTTGTAGTTCAATCACAAACAATCTTTAGCTGAATACAGACACCAGATACTGTGAGCATGTTATCCAGGGAACAGCCAAACTAACAATTTACGTTGATTAGCTGCAGCTGATCTAATCTGCTGCTGGAGATGTTTTGTAGTGCTCATTGTTAACAGAAGGAAAACAGATTAAAAGAGACAAATGTTTGACAGAAAACTAGCTACGAATCTGGCTGTTTTATAGACCTTGCATCAGATCCAAAACGGAACCAGCTATCGGAACTCATCATTTTTACATCATATAGGCATTTCTCAGTTTCAGTCAGTGAATGCAAATGCATATACTTACACAGGGAAGTCTCATGGCTGATATTTTCAAACAGTATGTTAAGCGTCTGGAGGAGCTGCACACACACGTAGCGTCCAGACTTCTGACGTAGGATGTTTAAGAAGAAGGCAAACATGTTCTTCTCCAGAAAGAAGCTGATCACATACAGAACAAAATAAGGAGTCAACTTGTGACAAACTTAAAATATAATCATCAGCAAAAGAATGTTTGTCTATCCGAACAGCTAAGAGTTAAGATACACGCCATTTATCCAACTTGTCTTTGATATGATTCCGGCTGTGGACATTTATTGCATTTATTATCCACCAACCCCCACTTATTACTCCCTCACTGTTTACGGTATACAACAGTTTCACAATCTAATAAAGGCAATGAGTCAAATTACTAAACTTTGAAAAAAAGAAAAGCTCATGTTCCCGGCTCACATACTGCTCATTTCACTCCAAAGAAGGTTGTGATTCATCATTTACCGTTCACTGAACCAGATCTGAGACTTGCTATCTCAAGGTATTCTACAAAACCCTGCTGTAGTTTGCACCATAGAAGTGAACGCTTTTTGTATAAAGATCATTATTATACTGCCCCAATATGTCTTCATCTCAACTAAACAATTACAGAAAAACTGAAAACTTGGCCAGTCACGTCCATGTATATTATAAGGGTTTCCTGACAGCGCCAACTATTCCTGCAACATTCTCAGTTGCTCTTCTTGTTCACGCCAGAAGAGCAGCTACAGAAACCTCTGACCAAAAACTAAACAAAACACGACAGTTTCAGAACCTTGACTCCCTGCAAATGACTCAAATCTTTCTGTGGTTTGATCTGAAAACAGTTCAAGAGAATTAGACAGATTCATTTCCAGCTTTTAACTGCTTCTTAATGAATCATTTCCCATTTTCTATTTTGTTTTGCTTTTTGGCTCTTTCTTGCTTGTTTGTTCTGTTATAAATGCTCACAATTGTACAGGTGTGAAAATTTCACACACATATTTTAAAGTGTGTTAAAGTTATCACGATTGATGTATAGAAAGAAGGTGGTATTAGGGTCTTTCGTGTCCTGTAAGCAAAAGCTGGGACAGGATTTTGAATGTATGTGCATTAAAAAAAGGGAAATAAGCTTCCAAATTGACATTTGCCTGTTCTAAGAACTCCAGATCAGCTGACTGAATGTGACTATTAAGAATCCACAAGGAGCAATCTTCTGTGATTGACAGCAAGGCATTTTTTGAAAATTCACAGTAAAGTTACAAGATTGCATCTGTTGCAATGTGAGACTACAAAGGAGCATGCAGGGTTAGCAAACCTTGATTATATGACGAGAGATTCAAAGAAGTACAAAGCCAAACCTTTGACTCTCATGCTGGAGTCACATCTGCAGTTTTATAGCCACGGGTGATTGAAAAGATATAAAGTCAAAAACTGGGACTTACTCAAACACAGAGCTGTCATTCTGGTCCCCCCAGATGAGAATCTCTGTGATGGAGCGGATGGTCTCCACAAGGAGGTTTCGGTTATGGTCTGTCACTGTTGTGTTTTTGGTCAGAACGTGGTACATGTACCTAACAGAGAGACAGGAGTGGACGGTGTAGAAGAAAGCATTAAAAGCACAGTTCAGTTTAGAAATGTGAATATGTACAAATCTATCTTCCAGCTTCACAACAGAAAGACAGACTGATGTAGACACATATGTGGAAGTGGCTCCTCACATCTAAATAATAAAGCAACTTTACGCAGACAGTCTCAGTGGTGATTTTACTGGGCTATGATTTGTCTGACCTATGAAAAAAAAAAAAAGCATGATGTGGCAATAAAACTCACCTGGATGTAAAACGTTATTGCTACAGGCCTACCGATAGCTTGTCAATATGACCAAAAAGTAGGGTACTAAGCACCAAATTAAACAAAGGTTTTACTTACTTTGCCTAATTGCTCAGAATTACATAGGCATTTGCATATTGAACATGATTGATATCTACCTTTATTGTTCATTTGATGCACCTGTTGGATTAGGAGGACGACTTTGAGTTTTGCTATTCAGATTAGTACATGAACTCTTGTAAGTCCAGTAATTCCCAGCGTTGGTCTAATCAGCCAAAACTCTAAAAGCACCTGTGCAGGGCCTTGGATTTCTGATGTACGGATTTTCCGCTGATATGGATATTTAAACAATACCTCGATGTTAGATATTGTCTTGCTTGTCCAAAACTATTGGAACAATGTCAATGCAGTTGTAGGGTACTGCAAGTACAAGCTAGTTCACGTATTATCTGCCTTATTAAACATAATAGAAACGATACAACAACCAGAAATAACTTTATTAGCTAACTGGACATCTGTACAACTACTTAGCTAGTATTAATTTAGATGTTTAAAGTGGACTGATGGCAACGCTGACAGTCGTGTGATTATTGAGGCTAACGTTAGCCTAACCAATGCTAACTACTCACTTCAAATGGTCCAAGGAATGGATGTTTTTCGTTTTTCCCTGCCCTCCAACCCAGCTCCGTGACCGGCCAAACATGGTTGCGGTTTTCGGGGGGCTGCTGTTTTCGCCAGGCGCGTTATTCTGCTAAGGTTAGCGTCCGCATCTATCCATTACACCCACTTTCACGTACCGATAGCTACTTAGCAAACAGAGGGTGATAGGCGGCGATGGTAGCACCGAGGGGTCATTGCGTAACGGCTTCTGCGGATGGGCTGTCTGGGAGTTGTAGTTTTCCCCATCTCCGATGGCGGTTTCACATAATGGAGAAAAACTACAACACCTACTTCCTACGTTATCAGTGACGATTAAAGCACGCGACGAGGCACCGTTGTACTGATTGACACCTGAATAGCCAATCAGAGCGGAGTTTGCCAGTTGGCGAGCCAATCACATACCGAGGCTTCAAGTGTCGCTTTGTGGTCGGGACTGTTTTGATGCAGTTGGCAAAAATGTGAGAAGGGACGTTTAGCTGTAAGGAAAAAAAAAAAAAAACATCGTCAGGAGCATGGATGTTTCAGTGTCGTGTGTTTGACGGTACTAATGTGAATATAAGTAAATTCCGATACTTTTCTTGTCGAAATGTTCGCGTTTGTTTCGGCTAACGTTGCATGCTACTGTTTTTAGCTCTAGCCAGCTGGCATGGCGTGAATTCCGCAAAGCCAAAGGAACCAATGTCAAGAATGCGTCGAGCTCGCTAACATGATATTTTAATACTGTCCGTCGGTTATTTTAGGCTATGCCGTTTCGTCTCGCTGTTTTTCTTTAGTTTTCTTTCGCACCGTAAAGGATAAAGTACAACTCAATGCTTCTCTGAATCGTTGCTCTGGGTCAGGACGAGCCGAAATGGACGCCCCGGTCCCATCACCCCTCACAGGTTTCTAGCGGTGACAACAACTGCTCCATCCTGGCACCACACAATCACAAGAACCCGAGCCGTGGCTTTCTTACTTTTCTATGACACACCCAATTTATGCCCAACTAGATTCGGTGGAATCGCTTTTGGACGAACTCCCATATATGTTTTATTTGGGCCTGTTCTTTGTGAACGTCCTGATCCTCTACTATGCCTTTCTGATGGAGTACATCGTCCTGAATGTGGGGATAGTGTTCCTGCCTGAGGACATGGATCAGGCGCTGGTGGACCTCGGGGTGCTGTCCGACCCGGCCTCCGTCCCATATGACACGGACACGGAGCTGGATGTGTTTGAGGGCTATCTGGAGTGACAAGGCGGTGCTGAAGGACAAAAAGAAAGTTGAGGAGGTGATGAGGAGGAGGATGCAGAGGTCTGGAGTGAACACTCCCTGGTCAGCGATGATGAGAAGAAATGTCTCAAAGTGGATGTTGTTGCAGCCTTTTTCTCACAGAGACATATCAGTCAAAAAGTAAGCAGAGTACACAAGAAAATTCAGTCTTTCTAAAGGGGTTTGTTTCTGTAGACAAACCCCCATAGAAAGCCTTTCCTTAGAGGCTTTTAAATTTGTTTTTCCCAGGAGAATCTTAAGACTTTAAACACAAGTTGTACACAAACTTACCCTTATTGTGGCGTGTTATGATATAATCTATAAGAAGTGTTCATTCACAAGTGCGTGTCATGTCCACAGGTTGTCTCGGCTCAAAGGAAGGTAGCCTGAGAGAGAGAGAGAGATTCAACACCGCCAGCCGTATGATCAGAGACTGCCCCCATGAAAGGAGCACTTGCACTGGATCAGCTGTCAGCGTGTTGCCAGTCAAGCAGCAATCAACTCCGCTGGCATCTGTGAAGCTCACTTTGGACACTGCAGCAACGAGAGATGAAAAGGAAGCACAAAGGTGCTGCTGCAGGTGGAGAGAGACAGCTGTTCCCCTTTGGAAGGAAAAATGAATGTCATCAGCAATGTGGAGCGTGTTTCATGTCATCTGCAGCCAATTCACACGCAGCAGCCTGGCATTTACACCGAATAATTATCTACGCTATGCAGGATCCGGTAGTTATTTCTACAAGCAAATGAGATGAAACCTGCCACTTGAGTCACAGTGCGATGTCCTACGCGGTGAGACATCTCAGATGAACTGGCAAAGAGCAGGAAAACAATGTCCACTGTCAGCCTGTTGTATAGTTAACCCCTCACAGAGCAACTTGTTTTAACAGTTTGTCTTTTAGCTCAGAACACATTTTGCATTCTTAAGGCTTAATTTAAAACATGTCTTTTGGGGTCATCCGTGCTGTATGTCTGCATCAGGGATGTATAGTCTCTCAGGAGCACAGTTAGGAACTCTGGGCGCACTGGCAAGACGTAACACTGACACTGGACGTAGGCTGTGAAGCTGTAGGATATAATACAGTTTTGACTCTCGTAGATCAGGAACACCATGTCGTTCTTACCACACTCTTCACCATAATGAGGAACATATGAAACTACCCAGGATGAGTTCATTCTTTGACACAGTTATCTCTGTTTAATCTATATTAACAGCTGAGGCCATGAACATTTCATTCTCCACAAAAAAAGGGTAACTATAACGACACGTGTCAAATCTCATGAAAGAGAAGCCCAAAAAAAAGTGCTTTAGATTTTTCACATCACTCTGTTGGTTGCACACATTTGTTTTAATATTGACTTTGAGAGACTTAGACCAGACTCAGTGCATGATATTATCTGTGTTTTTAAAGAATTTGGTTTAGTCGTCAGAATTCTGTTTTACTGCGCTTTCTGCTGTTTATGTTGTGACAGATGTAGAATTCCTTTCATCAAGGGTATGTTCCTGACAGCAATAATAAACTGGATTCAAGCGGCGGGGCGGTTAGATAACGACGTGAACGAGATCATTCACTGAATTAGGTGAATATTTCAGCTGTGTGCTTGCATTGATTTGCAGATGGGTGGAAAGATGCAGCCTTGTGTCAGTGGTGTCTTTAAAGGGATACTAAAGATTTATGAGGCATTTGTACGCTTTGGAGATGCTGTAAATCTGAGAAGAGCACTTGCAGCCCAGCTAATTAACTAAATATTGATTTTTGGAGGCAATACAGAGAAACCAGTATTTTCTTATACAGTAATCGCTGCCCAAATAAGCAGATTTTGCATGATAATCATTACATTGTGGTGGTTGTCAACCAAATACCCCAAGCCATAGAGACAGATAACATTTCAAAATCTTTGTACATGCATGCTTCGCCCTCTAAACAAGCTGTAGTCCAGAATTTCATCGTCATAACTGAAGGAACAGTACATTCTGCAAGACAACCTCTCACCAAGATGGCTCTGCTTTACTGTACTGGCTGTTCAGATGTCATTTCGAGCAACACTTTGCCTCGTCAGCTCAAATGGTTTTGCTAAATATAGCCCGATAATTATCCACAGCCACACTGAATTCAAAAAGAAAAAAGGCACGTTGGAAATCAAGAACGCGGATGTCGTCTTATTGTAAGAGGAAGCATTGACAGCTGATACCAAATTCTGTCGTATTTCTGGATTAAGGCTGACACTGAGCATTATTGTGTTTAGAGTTGTATGTACAAATCATTAAAAACACAGTATAAACACACAGGATGCTAAAACTCAGGATGCTGGTATTCATTAAAAATATGTTTGTTTGGAATTTGATCCAAAAATAATTCAATCAATACCAGCTAAGGGCTTTGTGTAGATAAACACTAAATGGTTAATCAATATTTGATGGTGCTGGAAATGTTTAGCTGGCTGATGTAATATTTTTTTTAACTAAAGGTCAATGTCAGTATAACGAGGTGGGCAATTTAAGGATAAAAATGGCTCCTCATAATGAGAAATCAGCGGCAAGTGAAGCTGTTTCGGGGGAAGATTCGAGTTTTATGCAAAACTGGTTCTAAATCACTGGTGTTCGCGGCTGGTTAGAGACCATGCCATCTCCCAGGTATGATACCACACTGTGCTGGTCAACATCTGATCAACCCTGCTCACGTTATCATCAACACAAGACCTGTACGCATCGCTCATCCCGCCACATCTGCCTCTTTGCAGACATGCACATGCTCTAATAAGCTATGGATCGCAACAGAGTTTTATTTTCCAATGTGTATTTAATAAACTTTGAGTGAATGCCAGCTTTTAGCCTCTTTTTTTTTTTTTTAGTTATACGCATGCTTATGGATTTGATGCCAAAGAGTTCATTTCTGAGTGTTGTGCCCTTTCAGTGTCATGTTACATTTTATCCACAAGAGAGAGTTACAGCACCAGAGAACGGCAGCTGTCTTTTTCAAATGCTTTGATGCCTCCAGTGTTTGGTCAAGGAAGTCCTGAACAGAGGTAAGTGTTGACATTTGCTCAGATCTGCAATCCTGGGAATTGCTGTGGCTGGCAACTTACCCAACCTGATGTGCGTCCTGACGTGACGCAGTGCAACTATCTGCTGATCCAAGACTAGGGGGTAATGCAGCTGGATGTGGAACTATTTCACACATCGATAAGTACAGAATGTTCCCTTTCTGTTTGCTGAGATTAAAGCTTGGTCCAGTTGCACACTAACCATCAATAGTCCACAAGGACCCCTCAGGAATACACGACTGTAAGAAGCAACCATCATAGCGAAATGTTTTATTCTCAACAATAAGAACTGCGGGGAACCCTTAAACAGACATCTGACAGTACTGAATATCAAGTCATTTCAGACAGGTAATAACAGAAGAGAAAGGTTTTGTTGGCACCATCTCAGACAGTCTTTGTGATCAGTTTTGCTAAATATCCAGGAACTTAAAACCAGAAAAACTCACTTGTACGTTATCTCAATGTCCGACAAGCAGAGTTATATTTATCTGTTGATTTTAGGCTCAGTTTAGCTGTAGATGCGAGACAGTAGTGGACAGGCGAAGTGGACTTTAGGTGCACCGAGGAAATCACTAATTCACCTGAAAGAATATATTTGAGAAAAGTTAACCTGCATATTGTAAAGAAAAAAAGAAATCCTGAACTCAATGAACAGTAGAAATTAGAAGCCTTTTTTGCCATCCATTGATTATGTTATTTCCTTTTAAATAAAGTTTTCGGCGATGGCAAATCAGCTAAACTCAATCTGCTTGATGTTGCTTATGAAAACTAACACTGATGTCATCAAAAACCACGTCACAGATATATATTCTTGACTTCATACAGCCAAACACATTGTTGTGGTTTGAGAAACAGCAAACCTCAAATTTTTTTTCTTTCTTTCTTTAATGCCTCTTCTTCTTACATCCACCCTTTGAAACCTCAACATTTCAGTTGTTCCCACACGCTCACCATGTGCCGATCATGCTCTGGTGACATGTCAGTCATTTGCATAATCATATTTTAGCCCTATCTTGTACAATAGAAAATACACATTTAATTTGATTGTCACAAAACCTTTCATCCTGAACATGTATAGTAAATTTCTGACTTTGAACATGATCTTATTTAAGGAAAAACAGTATTTTGGATCATGCTCTGGTGGCATGATGCTCCAAATTGTGGAACTGTTGCATTGTGGGACGTGGAAATTGGTATTTATCTCTTTTCAAAGGACTCTACAAGTCCCCCCCCCCCCCCCCACCTACACACACACCAAAAAAAATACTGATGGTGATAAGGGTCACCTAGAATCCCAATATTTGTGTTTTTGTACAGAAAAACTATTGTGAAAATGAAGGTTAACCAGTTTTTGTGTGTTTTTCAAATTTTAGTGGAGTATTTTAATTGTAATTCCATTCCAGGAGCTGTTCTTAAAGACTGAACCGAGATCTATAAGCACCAGACTACAAAAACAGCACTGGTTGCATTCTCACATTCTATTTAAAGTGTATTTTTTTGATTTACAAAGACCCACTGGAGTAACACGCTAAGCTATGTAGCTACAGACGACAAGGTACTGTTTGCATCAAAAATAAAGAACAGAAACCTGCAAACAAGGAAGTGAAATGAAGTTGTTTTTTTTAATTAAACTGATGTATTCAGTATACACATGACATGATCAGTAACAAGAAAATAGAAAAGACACATGTAGTCTACAGCAACAGAAGGTGCAAACGAAAATACTGTTTTTGTCAAACAAGTCAAATGCAGAACAAAGGACTTTTCAGCTAAAGACAGACTAAAAAAAATAAAATCTATTTACAGCGGGCACAGATTACCCTGAAACATCAGACAAATAGTGCAAATTTGCTTGTTAAATTTGTACAAAGTACCACCACAAACCTGTGTGGACACGCAATACTGTTCGCTGCACACGTATTGTTCGCACCCTCAGAAACAAAGATCAAGCAGCAAATAAGTTATCTGTTGTAGTGCAATGTTTTTCTAATGCTCCCTGATTGTCAGTTTCTCATGCGCATACGTGCCCTGGAAGATTTATTGTGCAGTGTAAACACACAGAGTTCATGTGAGATGCATGTTTTCAAAAAGTTCATAGGCTTGGAGAAAATAAGTTTCAAGTTATTCTAATGCCAAAAGATCCGACTGTCCTGCTGCTGAAGCCTCTCAAAAACTCCATATGGAATACACTGGTTCCACATCCTGTGATGAGATTGAGACGAAACAAGGTGAGAACCATGAAACATCTGGACAAAGATATGAATATGAATTAACAAGACATGATAGCTCACCTCAAAGTTTTCATATCACTACAGTTTCTCAGACTAGCTCCCAAACTTTGTGCTCCAACATCCGTTAGCTTGTTGTACTTCACACTGCCAAACAGAAATAAGACAGAACAAGACTTTAGATAGGTTTTCAGTGCGTCTCTGCAGAAGTCATATACCATTTCTTCTGTTGACGTTCATGGTTCTAGTTTTTGATGTTGTGTGTTAAAGGTTTAAAAATCACATTATGTTTAGTTTATTTTTTAGATATATAAAACATCCATGTGAATATTAAGCATATGTAGCATAAGAGTGACAAGTTTTCCACATTGTGTCAAACAAACACACATAAACATACACAGATGCAATGTGTTATAAAATGCGAAATCTTACTCAAGGTCAGTGAGGGAAGCCATGTGTGGGAGGACGGCTGCTAAACTCTCTGCCCCTTCGTCAGAAATCACATTGCTGTAAAGACTGGAAAAACAAGCGAGATGGAGAGGGAAGTGAAATTATGTGGGTTTACAGTATGTGCCATTTATGGGTGTTGCTGTGTAGCTCTGTGTGTGTGTGTGTGTGTGTGTGTGTGTGTGTGTGTGTATTATATACCTTAAAACGTGCAGTTTGGGCAGATCCTTTAGCGTAGCTGTCAGCTTCTTCACACCCACATCTCCTATGCAGTTCTGTGACAGACTGGAAACCACAAGGAGAAAACACAAAGTTATAAAATGTTACTACTTTAACAAATGTTATGTTTTTTTTTTGTTGTATTGTGTGTATTTTCAGACAGAAAAACAAGACCAGAATGGGGTCAACATGCACTCACTTTAGTATCTCCAGGGAACAGAGGGAGACTAATGCATTAGCCAGGTTCTCTGCTCCTTTGTCCCCGATCTTACAGTTTTCTAGACTGAAGGAGAACAGAGAGGCTGTCAGATACTAGAAACACACACAGTCTAAGAAATACAAGACGTAATGCACTGAGAGACAGAAATTTGGAATTAAAGCTGCATAAAGATACTTACTCCAAGTGCTGTAGGTTGGGCAGCCCTGGCAAGAACCCCCATAGCATAGGAAGAGCCAGAGGACCTTTCTCTGGACCGAGCCTAGAGGAAAAGGCAATGACCATCGTCATCATCACCGTCATCACTGTCTTTATCATCATCATCATCAAATGTCAGAGCTACTCACTCAAACTCCAGCTTGTGCAGCTCTTGGACTGCAGGCACCCCCTCCGCCAGGATGGACTCTGAGTGGCTGGAGCTACAGTTGAGCGTAACATGCGTTTTAATACCCAGACGGCCAACGCTATGCATGTAGTATGTAGAATCTATGTATATCTGGATGCATGCTGTGTGCAGTACCTGTCCGACAGCCTCTTCTGCATGTGTATCTTCACCAGCTTTTCCAGGTGCTCTACGTGACACACCTGTGTGGCCTTCAGAGGGTGGATCTTGAACTTGGACACTGCCCCTTGTAGGAGCCCTGCTTCACCTCCCTGCTCCAGCTGCTCCCACAGGGTGACGACATCAGCAATGCATGCCCTTAAAAACACATGAAGGTTTAGTTTCAGAAGTTGTTTTTTTTCACACTGATATCCGTGGATGATACGGAACATTGATTAAAACCAACAGACAAAAGCAGGGTTTCTATTTTTTGCCAGTGACATCCAATTAAGGTAATGTTAGCACCACCAATTTGGTGAAAACACTGTCTTCAGCTGACTTTTTAATGTGTAGGTCCAGTTTCCAGCTTGTTGCTACATCCAAGACAAATATACACTTGATAGCAACAGATATTATGTTGTGCTAAAAGACTGAAGCTAAAGTAGCATGTTCTAGTTAAAATATCAGCATCTTCTCCAGATGATGATCCATATAAAAACCATGGGGATATAAGGCGCTCTTGTATAGCAGAGCAGATCTAATTAATCATAGCATTGTATGTATACCATGAGAAAAAAAAAAGCAAATAAAGCTGCCGTGTAAAAGGTCATTAGCGGCGAACACTACCCCAAAACTCTGGAAGCATCCAGGACAGGCTTCCACCATGTGCTGTTTTGTACATAACTTCACGATTACTGCGTGCTCCTCAGTCTTGGAAATTTATTTAACTAAGCTAACAAGCTGGACATGCGCATGTTTAAAACTTAAATATGGATGATAAAATAAAGGAAACACCTGAATCTTTCACTCCTACAGTTAGTGGATCAAGTGGCTCTGTTATTCTGTAGGAAATGTTTTGCAGGTATTGTTTGATCCCACTTATCCAACCAAACTAAGCACCTGGGGAGGATTTGGACTGATGTCTTACAGTGCGCTTTCTATCACCATAATCAAACTGAAAGTCTTTTGGAAGAATGGTGCTACATTCCTTCACTCGAGTTCCAAAGTTGTAAAACTAATGCCAATGCAAATTGAAGTTGTTCTGGCAGCACATGGTGCCCCAACACCTTACAAAGACACTTTGTGTTGGCCTTTCCTTTAACTTGTCGCTCAATGTGTGTTAGAAGAGATGAACATACAGTTCAGCCCTATCTTTGCACTTTTACTCTCGTATTTTTTGTTGACGAAAGGCTACAAAAAGACAGCGTGGCCTTTTAAAGCTTTTGAACACTGACACAGCCAATAAAGAACAATCTAGAACCAGTTATACAGTCACAGTAAAAGACATGTGAAACTGTCCTTAATTTGCAAAAAAGGGACACAATATGGGACCTTTAAACATTTTAAATGCTGTACATGAACCTGAAATGGGAAGAAATCCTAAAGACTATTAGGTCTGCAGATCCATCAACTGATCAGAGCAACTTTTAGAAGTGGGGTTTGTGATCACTACCTGAATGTGTTGATGTTGTCAAGGCCCACGAGAGCCCTAAGTCCACAGATCTGTATCCCGGAGTCCTCCAGATCCAAACAGAAGCTTCTACCTTCAGCTCCGCCTCGTTCAACAGCGTTCTGCACCGTGAACACATCTGGTGGACTGAGTGGAACTCCATGAAATGTCAGGAACTCTGGAAGATTGGCTGCCAGGTGAGTCACCAGCCGTGTGCTGCCAGTGCTTCCGTCATCATTAATGTGACTTGCTTCATAAACACAGTGGCATAACTCCAGGACCTGGGAGGAGTTCAGGTCACCGTAGGAGAGTTCTTCCAGGTGTTTTATTACTAAAGCCTGCCTGTTGACCGCCACATCTCTGAGAGTTCTTTCTGAGTATAAGTGAAGCCTCTGCAGTTCTGTAATGTTGTGGAACGGGAGGCCGACCATGAATCGCTGAGCAAGCTCGAGCTCCTCCCTTTGAGGTCGCCGACGGCCCTTTCCACCTGATTGGAAAGGGAGGGTCTGGAGAAAGTTCCGGTCTGTTACAGTCCTGGGAAACAGAAAGTGAGAGTGGGTCAGGGAACTGCAGAGATGCTTTTGGACTGAAAGTGAAAGAGGAGAAAGTCTCTTTCATTCTTAACCAAACAACATACTATAGAGACTGAATACCATGACAGCTGAAAGTTATTTTAATCTGCATCAGACACATCTTATTGATTTATGCTTCATTTCATCCAGTTATTCTCTAAAGAATCAGTAAACTGTTTATCATTACCTTGACAAAAACAAATGGACCGCTGCCATGTAACTCTGAAGAAAAGGGTTGGCCCACAGCAGAATGTGATCATCATCAAGATCAGTGTCCGTCCTCTCTCTGTTTTCCTTCTCTTCTTCCATCTCATGTTTGTCTTCTCTTCCTCCTCCCTCGTTCTCACCATTTGAGACCAATGGCCTCTTCCTGAGGTGATGAGACAGAACAAGTCCTGTCCTGAGGCCAAACGCCTTGAGTTTGCCAGGTACAGTCCGTCCTGTTGGAAGGATGGAGGAGTTTGATTTGACCCCTTCCCAGGCCAAAGAGCTCAGCTGGGACAACAACTCTCTTTCTGTTCTATCTACTCCCTCGACATCACTCTTCATGTCCTCATCCACTTCGTCTCTCTGTTTTTTTGCCCTCCTTGATCTTTTGCTGCCAGAAGTGCCAGAAAGCTGTTTTCTGGACTTTGTCCGATTATTTCTGTCACATCTCTTCACTTGACAACTATCTGACATTTGTGTGTTGTTTTCTTGTATGACTTGCACTGGTGTTTGTGTTTGAGCTTCAACACATGGGTTCCCCCTCTCTTTTTCCATTTTCAGACAAAGCACTTGATGACAGAGCCCCGTTAAAGTTCTTGGTAAGACCTCCAAACTTTTGGACTGTTCTAAAACTAAGCACACCAGTCGACATAGTCCGGGGTTCCAGCAGAGGAGCTGTAGGTAGCTGCTGCTTTTCAAGCAGTCCAAAGCAGATGCTCTGAGGGCAGGGTCAGTGAAGTACTGGGTCAAGTATGTTGCTATATGTGTTGGGGTGAAGCCACATGTCTCCAGAAGGCTGTCTGCGCGCCGGAGCAGCTGGAGGGCAGAGCCTCTTGGGCGGGTGGAGAGCAGAAGAGTGCAGCCTGGAAGCAGAACCCTCTGAAGGACGGCAGAGTACAACTGCTTTACCGTGAAGGTCTGGGCCTTATTATCTTTCAGCAGTGATGTCACCAAGTCTTTTTCCTGAGTCTGGAGAAGCATCTCATACTCCCGCAACTCCTGAAACCCGTCAAAAATGATGAGAACACGTTTAGGGGCTGCAAGGATTTGAGCAAACACCGCCTCTGGATCCATGCAGGGAGGAGCAAAGGAGGAGAGGTTGAGTAGGACCGTCTGCAGGCTGAAGGTGGGCTCTGCTAAAGAGAGTTGTTTGCCATCCAATAAGAAGACAAAGTCAAACTGGGAGATGCAGTCTCTGGACCAATCGAGACACAGCTTCTTAATCAGAGTAGTTTTTCCTGAGCCAGCAGTGCCAAACAACAAAATGTAGTTTTTGGATTTGTCTCCGTTTGAGCCTCCAAAGATCTGAATGGAAAAGGAGAAAATGTCGTACTCATGAGTTTAACGAGTCGTATAACCAATTCAATACATGTAGATGCATAGCATTAAATCTGTAAATTGTAAGAAATTCGGTTGCCTTCAAATAGCATAATATGACATGAACAGTGTTTTGTGTTGTTTAACCCTCTGTGTGTGCTTTTTGCTTCTGTCACACTTTAATATAAAGTCCTGCACCTTTATGGAAACAACACAACCATGGCTAGAAGTAGAAAGAACTCAGAAGTGTATTTTGTGCAGTATACCATGGTTTAATGTCATAAATCATAAAAAGAACCTTTGAAAGTTGAATTTCTTATGTTTTGTATGTGAAAAAACCTAGAATCAACGTTTACATTTTTCCAAGTATCCACAGGTTTTGCCGCCACTGGTAAAGAAACTGTAGTTCTTCATACAAAGATGCTTTACTATATTGTGAACAAGAGGTAAAAATATTTTTCCTTTCTTAAGTTGTTTCCATACGTATTATTTGCTTTGTGTAAACGCAGCCTGCAGTTCAGCCCAGTTCAGCCATTAAGTCCCTGTGGTTTTGTTTTTACGTGACTGTTGGTCACAGTTTAGTCAGTCATGACTTCACAGGTGTACTAATAAGCTCAGAACTTTTTATTTTTTACACATTCTGATTAGAGAAAGCAGTGTATTTTTGGCAAATTAAATGAAACATATAGTGTAAAGTGATTAAGATGAAATATAACAATTTTCAGTTTAAAGTTTGGTTAAGTATCTGACATGCTCTGACATAAAACTCTGGGTTTTTTGAGTTCAGAGGGTTAACTTTAAGTTGTCCAATAAAAGTTGTAGTTACAAACATCCAGTGACGCACCTGGACACATGATAACAGAAAGCACCAGCATGTTTTGGATCAGCTTGTTCCATAGATGCTCTTACCTGACTCGGTCCCAGCAAGCTTTTTTGCCGATCCGTATCTCCCATGATAACCAGCTCCTTGTCCAGGCATTTGTTTGTGTTTTTGCCAGAACGAAGAATCTCTCTTTGGCTCACTTTCACGTCTACGTAATGCGAGGTCAAGCTAAGACCCGTTTCCATATCCTGGCAGGCGTGACTCATGTGGGCTTTGGCTTCCTGAATGTAGTCATTTACACCTTCTGAAAGACAAACAGAAAGGTATATCTAGCTGCTTCTCCACAAAACATACTTATTTTTTTTAAGGAAATTGTAGATAAAAAAATAAAAAGATAAAAATGGCTTTAAAGCATGAGGTAACTTACGTGGAATATCAGGGACAGTAGGAGACTGAGGAGGAGGCGATTCCTTACACGGGGACATGTCTGAAAAGCGAAAAAAAAACACGATATTTGAAGAATGGCAGCAATTCTATGTGGTAATAGGGGAAAGACATAAAACAGAAAACCGATGCTTACCAGTACTGGGGGAGAGAGGTGAGGCACAGGGAAAAGACATGGCTTTGCTAGCGGTGTCTGACAGTGAACCTGGTGGGGATGAACTCATTTGGAGTGGCGCTACTGCACCATCCACTGCAAACACAAAAAAAAAGTCTTAAAAACAATCGCATTCAAGCACTGCAGTTGTTGAAGAATGGTTTCCAAAAGTGTAACTGTGGAATCTTAACTAGCATACCTAAGTGAGACCACGTAATACAGACTCATTATTAACAAACCAGATCATGGAGTTTTTTTGCTCACCTGGGGACAGTGGAGGCAGTTGCCGTTTGCATGGTGGCGAGGTAGCAGGAACTATATTAGAAACAAGGGTTAGAGTGTAAACTGCTGATGCAATATGCACAATAGACATTAAATAACGAATAAAACTGTCCTATTTAGCACCAAAAACAACAAAATTGCCTGAAGAAACCTGCAAAATAATGTATAAAGATGGAAACAGATGTGAACTGGAAGAAGCTCAGGATGTACAGTTATTTTGGCATTAAAATAAGCTAATTGATATAAAAACTTTCCCAACGTTTTTTTTTTTTTGGCATGGACTTTTTCTTGCACTCATGTGATTATATTAAAGGTCTGTGGTTGTTGATAACAGCTGTATCTAATCTACACTTTTCAAAACTGCATGTCACCTGAGTCCTCTTTCACTTCCTCAAACACCAAAAGCTTCACAAACATGACCTTTTTCAGGGCTGCTGCATTGGAAAGCGTCTCATTAATCTTTGAAACTGTTAACTCTGTGCATGTGAATAATTAACTCACCTAATATGTACGTAGGCGCTGTAGCCGCGTTGGGGAGAGGAAGCCTAATAACAGGAGGAGGAGTGGACAGCTGGACGACCTGATAGCCTGCAGCGTCCGGGATGGTGATGATCTGAATGGGGATGGAAGGCGCTGAATGGGACGGATAGAGATGAAGGATTCGTGACGGTGGAGTGGTGGAGAGGCCGCTCAACGAGTCTTTTGGACGAGGCGCCGATCCTGCGTCAGCTTCTGCAACCAGAGGCCACATTGTTATCACTTCCAACAAACAGGTTTTGTTAACCTTGAGCATATCAGAAAGGGAGTCAGAACAATGAAAACAAGCTGAACGTTTGACGAAATAACAAGTGATTTTTTGTCAAAATGTTCCCGTTGCAGACTTGATAGGAGAGACCAGGAAGACTTGCTGATTGCAGTGGCTTTAAATAAACTGCTATGCTTCAATAACTCTGAACAGTTAAAAACAAAAAAACAATTAATTGAGCTTGTCTTAAACCTATTAAAGTGACTGTCAACACTTGGCTGTTTGATCTTATCATACTGAGAATTAAATCTGATGTCCAAAAAGCACCGAACTGATGTGGAGGAAGTTGAGTGACGTGAAAGTTCTTCTTTTGATTCATTGACACGACCTCTCATCTAGTGACTTCAGACATAAAGTTCCTGTTTTTTTTGGTGTACGATTCCATCCTGCAGAAGTCAAGCATAACTAACCAGCATCGCTTTCACCCATGGGTCAACTGCATCAATGACTTCTCTGGAAAATGACGTTTCATCTCTCAAATAAGCTCCCATGTGCTCAGAGTTCTGATGTTTTACTCTCGTTAATGTCTCTTTAACATTTCGGCTGCATGTAAATTATTGTAATGTATAACTGTTTGCTAGCACATTCCAAAATGCAGCGACTTGATGCATTTCCTGTCATTCTTTTCTCGTCAGCCATCCACTGCAGATTTTCACATCTGAGGCAAATGAATCCTTCATAAATCTTGGCTGTTTCTGCTGAAAATGGCACCAATTTCCAGCAGAAGTCACAAAAACTCACCTTGAACGACAGTCGTCTGCTCAGCCTGTACCTTTGTGGCTTTTGTTCGACCTGCAAGAGGAAAAGAATCGACATCACAACGTGGTTCTTAGCTTACCTCAAACAAAGACAGACAACCAAGAGCCCCACAACTGTCTAAACATTATCTTTCAGACCAAAAGGTGATGATTGGTGCGTCAGAACAGCCTTTCATGAAGATTTTATAGTGACTCTTCACTGGAGCGTGTTAACAGGTTTTAGCTTCTTAACAGTGAATCAGGTGGATATCTGAATTCATGCTGTTTCAGAGTTCTGAAACTTAATCAGGCAGCCACTTGTTTCCATTCATATTGTTTTCTCATTATATCCCACTGCTCACCTTTTCTCTCGTCACCCTAACCCCAACCAGTCGAGGCAGACGGCCGCCCTCCCTAAACCTGGTTTCTAACTTATAAAATGGATTTTTAAGGACTGTTGCAAAGAGCTAACTCACAGAGGATCTTTGGATTTCTGGGTTTCTTATGCTGACATTGAAATCAGCCCTTGCAGAAAGACAGGAAGTAGTGGGGGTCATGGATGTATTTAGACCATGAAGCCTGTCTTTCTGTAACAACCACCAGTCCCGACCAGCTGCAGCCTCCACCAGGGTAGGTCTGCATCATGGATGTGGATGGATGGAGATCCAGGAAGGAGAGCGATGGAGGGTAAAGGAGCTCCATTATGGAGAGATTTAATAAGCCAGTATGAGCCAGGAAGGGTGTATACTTGGGTTTTGTTTATGCAATCGAAATTTGCGTGGTAGTTTGCATACAGTACGATTAGGTGCGGCCATCAATGTTTTAACATTGCTACTGATAAAGTGCCTATTGCCTCTATGGTCTACTCCGAATACAACAAATATAAATATAAAGCGCCCTGTGATTACTTATTTTGTTATTTGTCACTAAATGCAAAAACCCCCCCCAAAAAAACTGAATTCCAAATGATGCGAATATGAACAATTAAACTCTTTGCAATCACAATGTTAACAATACTGCAGATTTGTTGGATGCAATAGGATTGAAACAAATAAATTACACTCGAATATGTCCCCTGTACTAAAGGTACTGTCATTGTGTCACATCACAGGTGTTTTTTTAAGCCTCAACTGGAGCCATTCATATTTGATGAACAACAACAACAGGTGGACTCTCCCTGAGTGATCACTGCGACGACTGACGCAAATTCTGCTGAAGAAACATAACCTATACGAATGGAAACTAACAGCTGCCTGAAACCACACCAAAAGCATACTTCTAACCCTATTCAAGACTTTCATGTTGCCATACGTAGAAGGAATAGAATAGAATAGAATAGAATAGAATAGAATAGAATAGAATAGAATAGAACTTTATTGATCCCTTTGGTGGAAACCTCAGGGAGACTGCTGAGAAGGTCTTTCAGGGTTGACGGACCCCAAGAAAGGATATGTGCAAAATATTTGTTGGTGTTCATTATAGACTATTATACTATGTTAAATACATTTTCTGGTAAGTTGATGTATTTTTGGTTCCAAATGCATGACAAATGTCCCTCTTGTTATGTAAAAACCCTGAACAGGGTAAAACAGAAACGGGCAAAAGCAAAGTCCGACTCTTTTGATGAGCTTGCAAAAAATGTGTCACTCTGTTGAGCTATTCTGTAGACAATACACATCATTGCTATCAGATTGGCAACCAGATAAAGGAACATGGCTGTCACAGTGCGGCTGTATGACAATCATTTAGGTATCCTCAGCTCATTTGAAGATTTGGTGAGTACATGCCCTGGACTCTGGAATGTAATGCATGACTATAAAAATCATAGAGGATGGCAATAAAACAATAGTCATTAAACAGGTTCATGGCTGACAGCAGAATGTGAGGGTTGTGCGCTTCGCAGTGGCCGCATTTGAAGTGAAAATGTCAGAAATAGTCAGAAAATCAACGCCTGAATTGATCACCTGTTGCTTTTTGCCTTTTGGCTCTGGTGCTCTCGTCAGTGCGGGGAGCTGGAGAGAGAAGATGTAACATATAAGTTTGCTACATAAGCAAGCAAAACTGGTAAATTAGTCCAAGTTTGCAGAATTTCGTGGCTGAAAATGACGTTTTATATGACAACGACGATCACAGTGCAGGTTTTACATAGCGGGAGAGATGCAGATAATAAGGTCCTCTCTGGGTATCTACCTCTCTGTCGCTTTCTCCTGGTTTTGGTTTGTTTGTCTGTCGGTTGCTTTCTCTGTGGGAGGTCGTCGAGGCCGGGCACCTCTGTTGGCTTGTCACCTGAAGTACATGGAGGAGGAAGTAAAAGAGTCAGTGAAGCAGTAAGCAGACACCAAAAAGGGCTGTTATTATCATGCATGTGAGCACTGAACAGAAAATCAAGTCTGTGAAACATGTTTTTCTAGACATCCTTTCAAAAAGGGAAGTAGGACACACAGGATAAAACAATGAACTGAAAACATCACCCAAGAAGTTTCTTAGTCATGTGTTTTGTTGGCGTCGGCTTTATTTCCTCGTTGTTTGGGGTTTTCAGATACTACACTGCTGTATCTTTAAAAATGAAATAGTAATTTTTCCACAGGTTCTATTTTTGTTCTGACTTTATTAACAGTGAAAAAAAATTTGGGACGTGTTAAGCGTTCTCAAAATGGGCTTCAACTGGGCCGACAAAATACAGAAATTACTATAAAATTATACTGAAAAAGGAAAAAAATGCATGTTTTTATATGTTATATGGACAACTATAGATTCATATTTTCCAGCTCACATTAAAAGAAATGAATAAATCTATGCAAGTCTTTTTTGTTGTTTAATTCTGGGGGGCAAACAGTTGCAAACATAACAAGAACACATCCTTACTGCAGTAGTCATGTTCATCCACACAGGTAAGCAAGGGATCCCCAAAAAGCACATCTGTATCTAAATGACAAAATGCAGAGAAGTAGTTAGAAAACAGTTCATTTTTTTGTAAACGTATGAGTTTCTATGTCAGACATGTGACCGACCACTCTTCTGTGTGATCCTACAACATGTGTGCAGGGGTTTGGTAGTGACTCACCCAGCAAATCATCGTTCAAGTATTCAGATAGATCATCTGAAACACAAATAATAAAAAGCATTATCAGACAACACATTAGCGACAGTCTGGTTTGATATCTCTCACATTTCCAGGTAAATTTCACAATTTTTTGGACCTTCATATTTGTTTTTGGAACTGCTTTTCTAAATTGTCTTAATTTTGTTAATTTAGAAAAAAAAAAAAAGGTCAGAAGCACCAAAAGCGAGTTTGTCGCAATAAATCAAGACAACAGTAAGTATTTATGGAAGAGATCTGCAGGTTTTCGAGAATTACTTGGTCTGAATGAAGAAGAAAAGACCACACAACAACACCAAAGCTAGAAATAAAAGTTACTCCAGCCCTAAACGGGACTTTTTCAGAATATTTTTGATGCAGCCGATGTCTTGAAAATGTCAAGTAGATCATTGATTTGAGTATTTAATCAAAAACATCTTACTATATTCCTTACCTTTTTTTGCAATAACGTCAGTGTGTCTTACACTTGCAATATTGCTTTGTTTCATTAAACAGACTATTGGGACAAACAATGTCTACTTCTGCTATTTCATCATTTCATCTATTTCTCATTGGCTCAACCAGTCGCTGAATAAAGAGGATTTCCCCATCATGGCTTCCTAAAAGTGATAGATGGTGTTTCACTACTTCTATGTTACATTGATGCTGTTGTTTTCTGTAGGACAATTATGTGGAGCTTGTTTCTGCGTATTTCATGTTTTTTCACAAACCTGTCAGGAGCCTTTGAAAAGATGCAACAATACTAACCTGGTAGATCCCCAAAGTCAGAGGGGCTCATGGGGAAGAGATCTACTTCCTGCATCTTGGCATCTGAAAACACACAGAAAGAAAAAGAAAAACAGGAGGATGTTTGTAAAATCCTTTAAAAAATTAAAATACGGTTGCATAAGGAGCACAAAAGCATGTGGTGCTACAGTAAAGCTGCCTGAAAACTGTATTAAACTGATCAGCTACCTTCATCTAGCAGCGTCACTGCTGCCACAATCAGTCTTTGTTATCAAGCTTTGCACATGTTCTTACATTAAGTTTCCTCTTTGTGCTTCTCACTGCTCTGTTAAAAGACACGAAAGAGGAAAAGCCAATACTTTGGGCAAATAAAATCTACTGAAACACAAAATATTTGCTCACTTTTATGTCTCATTGACACAAAGGAGCACTTTTAGTACGAGACTTTTTGTCAGTTTAACGACACAGAACACAACAGGAAGCCATCACTCTGTGCAGAGGTTCTCCTTTTGGCTTTCTTTGTAAAAAAAAACAAAAAAAAAAAAAACAGACTGATCATCTACACCTTCATTTCTTAGAGTATGTATGTGTTGTGCATCTGCTATTCTTTACACATATTATTACACATCTATTCAACACACAGGTGACTGTGCGAGATAACTTGCTCCTCTTGGAATTTTGAGCTGATTTACTTCCTTCCCAGCCCTCCAAACAAATTAAGAAGGAATCTGGTCTCGAATCTTGTTCTGGCTAGATGTTTGGCTTATATTATTTGCTTATGCAATGGGGAGCACAGATCTAGTCCAAAACATCCTGTTTTGCTCGGCGACTATCGCCGGGCTGTCAGATGAATATCAAACACGTTTGGCATTTAAAATCTGGATTGGTAGAACTATAATGCTGATGCTGCAACATTAACTCTGATATTAAAACTCGTAAAATCTCGCCTCCAGTTCTCACTGAAGTATAAACACCTTGTGTTGATGCCATCATTTTCTCTTTCAGAATCGTTGTTTACATCGGCTTCACCACAGGCTCACATGAGGTGCTGCGTTGCTTCCTGACTGCTTCTTCTGCCATTGCAATCTGAATATTTACCTGCACTGTGTGATGAGCCATTATTTTCAAATCATATGCATGTCTTAGGTTAGAGAGAAGAATATCTGTTATTCCTTCCTACATGTGAGATTCAAGTTGATTTCAAAATCTGTTTGGATTTTAAAACTCCTGAAATATGAGCCCTGCTTACTGTGCAACACTTTTTCTAGAATATTTACCTAACTTGCACTGTGAAACATGTAAAATATTCTATAATATTCTTCACAAATAGATAAGAAAACCCTTCATTATTGTAAATAAATCTTTATACAGATGCCACATTGATTTATTTATTGTCATTAGTATAACGAGAGCCTATATTCTAGCTGTTAATTGTGAAAAACATGGTTTCATTTGTGTCTAGTGTTTAAAAATCAACAAATAAAATTACCAATAAATTAAAGCACTGACCAAAACCACAAATAAATGTCCAAAATGAAGACAAAAGTAGCGCAAAAATGTACCAGCACCTGTCAATCAATTCAAAATTTAACTTAAAAGACTAGGAGCTGATTGATTATTAGTGTTTTGTCAGGATTTATATCAGCCGCAGTTATTAGTCATCAAGGAGGCCAATAGCAGGTTTTGAAAACTAATATACAGTTGCAGAAAAATGTGAAATGTTGGTGTCAAAATTTTGAACACCATATAAATTCATTAAAATGTCTTTGCCTAGTGATGTTTTAAATGTGTTTCACGAGAAGAGCACTTCTCATTATGTACCGATAAGTGCACAAATGCTGAATGTTAGATCCAGTAAGTAGTTGACTACTACTGTACAGTTTGACTATTTGTATGCATTGTTATTTGGACTCACAGTGCTGCAGATATACACATACAGTGTATAATTTTACATAAGCGGCCTCTTTGCTTTTAAACGTGTGAACGCTCACCAGAAACCACAGCACCCCTCGTCCGTCTCGAGTTTCTCTTGCATCTGTCAATCTCTCATTCTCTCGCTAATAAAAGCATGAACGGCCATTGTAATTAATAATAAAAAGCAAATACAGACCAGCTGAAAAGGTACTTCAGTAAAGTCAGAGCAGAGAGATGGTGGAGAAGAATGAAGGAAGCAAGCATGAAAAAAAACAACAAAGAGGTTTCTGTTCTCAGTCGTTGCCCAGTGGTTTGTGCTAAGAGACAACTATTGTGACACTGTTGGTATTATTCTGGTGTTCTATGTTTTCATTTTCTTTTAAATTGTTTGCAAGTGCGTCATTATCCTGGACTGTTTTAAAGTGAAACTGAAGCTCCACAGAAATGATCTTTATTTGATTTAAATTGAGTATGCAAAGCCCACGCTTACATGGAAAGAAAGAAAGAAAGAAAGAAAGAAAGAAAGAAAGAAAGAAAGAAAGAAAGAAAGAAAGAATTTCTGGCTATTTTTGAGCCGGGCTTTTACTTTTCTTTTGGCCTTGGATTACTTTAAAGGATATCGGAGTCAGCTAACTTGATTAGTAATGAAGTACAGGTACATGTGGAGCTTTGTGAACTGTGGTTCGCACTTCAGGGCTGTTGGCACAAATGTTTGAGAGAGTTTGTGCTTCAGTCTTAGAAAAAAAATGTCAACATGCGAATGCACAATCCTTGCTTATCCCCCCAGTTCCAACTCCCACCAACGTGTTATCAAACGGGATAACATGAGCTTCGAAACTTGGACGGAGGAGACACTGCTGGTACCAAAGACTGGACTGCTTGTCTTGATGACTGGTGACCTTTAACCACAACCTCAAGTACAATAAAACACTAAACCGGCTGATGATGCAATTACCGAAAAAAAAAAGTGTCAACGCAGCAACGCAAAAATACTGCATTATCAATAAAAATCCTGCATGAAAAATGCTAATTAAGTAAAAGTACGCGAGTATTAGCAGCAAAATGAAGCCGAAGCCCCTCTGACTGAAATAATCAGATTTTTAGTGATGCATCAGTGTGTCGGCAGAATGCAGCTGCTGCAACTTATATGCAGATTTACATACAGGGACAGTAGAAGTAGCAGAAAAACAAAGTTCTGATGCACAAATCTGCTTCGAGTTTGTCTCTAATCTTTTGATTTTTGGCGAGATATTGGATAGGACAGATATGAAGGCTTAGCTGCTAACAACTCCTTGATATCCGAAATGTAACCCCGTCTGCTTTTTGTAAGAAGCCAAAAATAATAAAAGCGTATTGTGTTACCCATTGTGTAACATCGTTAACCCAAAGGTGACTAATGCTGTCAGAACAATGTAGAGGAGTGGAGGTGTAATGCGGCATACAATGGAAATCCTCAAGTAAAGTAAAAGCACATCAACTTTGTGTTTAAGTACAGGACCAGAGTTATTGTTTCTTTTGACCACTGTGAACAGGTTCATGTCTGGTGGCATCTGAGTGGGTAAACAGGCAATTTATGGGGAGGACCTGGATTTTCACAGCCAGCTTTTCTTTCTGTTTGGGAATCAGGTCATGGTGAAGGGGTTAGTGTGGACTTTCATCTCCGATCACCACTTGGAACTGCTCATTTGTGTCTGTGCGAACTCATAAATCTTGATATAGACCGTTTCCTTTTACATTAAGGGGTTTTTTTTTGGTCTGCATCAGCTTTACAGGCCAAGGACGAAGAGTGAACACTTTAGCTGTTTGAACATTTTCGTAAAGCGAAAGGCATGAGGGTGAGTCTGCCGCCTCACAATCACAAAGCAAAAAAAAAAAAAAAGCCTGAGCTATGAGGAACTTGGCAGGTTAAACACAGCGCCACAGTACATCACTATTTGACAGCAACCTCCTCATCAGCAAGTCAAATAAACATGGCTGCATACAAGAACAATACTGTACAGGAGAGAAATACTACAAAATCTTGGCCAGGAAGGTGTGAAATTCCTTGTTTCTGTTATGAGCTCATACAGTAAACTCCTACACATGTAGTCACCATCTACTGCCTCCTAATCAGTGCTTTTTAGCCGTTCTTTCAGTCCGGAAAGCCCCCCAAATACCCCACTTGACACAGACTTTACATGTAAACTGTGTCTTCCTCTTTATTCGTGCACCACTTCAGCACATGGGGGGCTGCGTTAGTGATCACACCCACATCGAGGCGCGTTATGGCGCAGGTGAAAAGCAGCTGATTTGCCTGATGAAGGCTGAACGTTTCTAGTGCAATAACAAATAAAACATCACAGTTGCAACTTTATGAACTATTAGCCAAGTAGATGGTGAATTAAGATTATTTCAAGTTAGAATAAAACAGAAAACCAAGCTTTTTTTCTCTCTTTTCTTTTCTTTTCTTTTTTTTTTTAAGGGTTGATCATCTCAAATAAAGCCATAAAGAAAAATGACCACAGAGTTATTTAATTTAAGAAAGAAACTTTAAAATTACAGCAAAAGGGGTTCCAAAAGTACCCATTAAAACGTGTTAATGGAAGGGAAAACCCCACAACAGCTTTGCGTATCCATGAATGCGCCCTTGGATAAATGCGCACTTGGATAAATGCGCCCTCCATGTGCCATCAGATGAGGGTATTTCTGCCTACCTGTCGGGTCTCTCTGGATGATGATCGGATGCGTAAATCTGTCTGCTGGTAGTTCTCCGCGCGGTAAAGTTCAAGCTCTTATCCTCAAATGACCTACACATCCAGTCAGCGCGCAACCTGCTCCGTCTAACAATAAAACTCGGCTTTTACTTTCACTTTTGGCGTGCAAACCACGCCAAGCCTAAGGGTACAACGATGCTGCATAGCAAGGGTCCAAACCAGAGGGTGGCAGAAATGCAGTTTTCGATTTCAATCTTCATGTGAGGGCAGAAAAAGGTTTTTAAATCGCCCCGTCGACTCATCTAGAGGGGAGCAGTTGAAAAAGTCACACAAAAAAATATATTGGCACATTTAATGCATGCTCAAATACACACTGCATGATCAGACACTACACATGCATCCTGAACAACATACTGAAGAAAACTGACATTATCCAAATTGTGATGTGGTTGTGAGTAAAATGCACATTGATGCATTTGTTGTGGATTGATTGACTCATGCTAAACACCCTTTTCTGTCTTCTTAACATAGATATCAAACCTCGTCTGTCACCTTGTATAAAATTGAACATTGCACAGCCAGAAACTGAACACAGTATTACAGCACTGCTCCTCCTATCAGCCGTCCACATTATTGTAATGCATTGAAAACAACAAAAGGGACATATAGAGAACCAGCGGGAGAATTTGCTACGAATACAACAGGCTGCTCTGTGTCTCCAAGGCGGCGCCTGGAAAACTTGATGACCCCTAGAAAGTTATATCCTGTCTTGAGAGAGTGTAAACATGGTCACTGTCATTTTGGTCTTTTTTTTGTTTCTGAAAAATTATGAATTCTGGAAACACTCTCCGCTTATCATATACATCTTTTTATTATTATTATTATTATTGTTGTTATTATTAATAATAAC